ACTTAATTTGTTTTTTTAAAAAGATAGGGTGAAAGGCAGAAATTGCAGGGAATCATACATCGCAGAAGCTGCTTTATCTTCTTGCTCAGCAGTGAATCTAGAAGTGCTTCTGGTCGGAGCCCCACCCTCGGACAGAGGCTGTGAAGGACACTTCTGTGTTCATCAATCCTGCCGGCCTGCTTCGTCTTAAACTGCCATGCCTCAGTCTTCCTGGGATCACACACGTGTGTAGGGCTGGCCCCTTCCCTGCCGCTCCTGCAAGGGGGTCAGCCAAGCCTTGTTCCTGACTATTAATATTAGGCAGAGACACCTGGGAAAGAGAAAGCAAGACCCCAGACAGCTCCTCTTACGAGCCTCAGGGAGGACGGGGCTCGCCCTGTCCGAGGGTCTGACGGATACAGTCACAGTGATCATCATGGGCTTTTGGAGAATGTCAGTCTGAATGTGTGACGGGGGTTGATGCAGTCAGAGAGCACAGTGGGGAGGGCATTTGCCTTGCATGCGTCAACCGAGTTTGGTCTCCTGCATCCCATGTGGTCCCTTGAGCCTGCAGGAGTAAGCCCTGCGCATCACTGGGTGTGGCCAAACCCCCAAACCAAACAACAAAATAGTACACCCCCGCCCCCCCCCCGCCAAGCCTCCTTCTGCCTTGGAAAATGAGGGGGGCTCACCTGCTCGCTGAGTTTGGGAGTCGATTATTTTTCCTTTTTCTTTCAGTTTCGCTCATTTGCACAGAGGCTTTCTCCAGTGAATGTCACACTTCTGTGACTTCTCCAACTGAGCGTAATTAAGCTTCCCCTGGGGTCCTTACTGGCATCGCAGTGATTCGCCTGTGGGCCAGATTGCTTTCTCCCCTTACTGGAGCTCTGGGGGCTTCCTGTCTCTCTGTCTTTAAGAGGGAATCAGAAAAGGAGGTACAGGGCCTGGGGCACTGGCGTTGCATGCAGCCAAGCCAAGTGACCCAGGGTCACTTCTGAGCTCAGAGCGAAGAACGACCCTGACATCGCTGGCGGTGGCCCCCAGTTCCCACAAGTAAACAAAAATAGCAGGAGCAGCGGGTGGGACAGTGGCCTTGCACACGGCCCACCCAGGTTCAGTCCAAGCCAGCCAGGAATGACCCCCTGAGAGAATAGAGCCAAGAGCGAGCCCTGAGCACTGCTGGGTGCGGCCCCCAACCATCGTAGTCCCTAGCTCCGGGGTTCTTGACAGACTTGGACAAAGCTGTGGGAATGATGCCCGGCACATTCCAGGGCTCTGTGCTGTGTGCAACGAGAGCCGTTGGACGCGCCAGTTTCGCCGCTTGCCCGTCAGGGGTGGCGCTCCTGGCCTGACCGCCTGACCTGCTCCGTGCTGGCCTTCAGTTTTGCCCAGGGCTGGAGAGATTGCACGGGAGGTTAGGAGCTGCTTTGCATGTGGCCTGCTCCGGTGCCACTTACTCGCTGGTGCCACCCTGGTCCCTCATCAGTCAGCCGTGCCCTCCCACAAACGCCAAGAGCAACAAAGAAAGTGCAAGATTCAGTTTCCCCCTAATACTTGGACGCCCTTTCCTGATCTCTCGAGACCCCAGGGATTCTCCGAGGAGATAAAAATAAGAGCTTCGCTTCTGAGCGGAAGGATCGTTTAGTAGCTAAGGGCGTTCGTTCGCCTTGCACGTGGCTGCAGTTTCAAGCCTGACACCCCACACGGTCCCCCGAGCCCCGCCAGCAGTGGTTCCTGAGCACAGAGTCAGAAATAAGCCCTGAGCACTTCTGGGCTTAGAAGCGAACAAAAAGAGCTTTTCCTCTGCGTTTTGGGGCATCCGTATTGGCTTTCGGGAGCATCCGTGGATAGTCTGTTTGCTCCGGTGAGGGTGTGTGGGAAGTGAGGGGGTCATGATCACTGCCCCCAGGTGGAGCATGTGTTCTGAGTGAGTGAGTGAGTGAGAGAGTGAGTGAGACATCCCTGTCGAGTGCTCAGAGTCTTTAGGGATGACTGCGGGGTAGAAGCAGGAGTGGCTCGGGACCCCAGGAAGGGGCTGGGCTCCCCGAAGTTGGTCACTCTTCTCAGTGAGCGCTGTGTCCCTAGAAACCCATTTCATCCTCCCACGCTGGAGGTAGGCTCCTGTGGCTTACGGCACAGAGAGCGGAAGTGGTGCTCCCTCACAGCTGGGAGGGTCGGAGTCCCCAGGCGCCTAATGCGTATTTGTGGAGGTAGGTTGGGTTTGGACTGGAGCAATAGCACAGTGGGTAGGGCATTTGCCTTGCACGTGGCCGACCCAGGTTCGATTCCTCCGTACCTCTTGGAGAGCCCAGCAAACTACCAAGAGTATCCCGCCCGCTCGGCAGAGCCTGGCAAGCTCCCTGTGGCATATTCAATATGCCAAAAACAGTAACAAGTCTCCAAGTCTCACCCGGGCTCCATCTCTGGCATCCCGTCTGGTTCCCTGAGCCCCACCAGAAGGGACCCTGAGTGCAGAACCAGGAGTATGCCCTGAGTACTGTGAGGTATAGCTCAAAAACTAGAAAACAGCAAAAAAAAAAAAAAAAAAGGAATTTATTCTTCCTGGTGCTCAGGGAACTGTGGAGGGCCAGGAAGGGAATCGGGATGAGCTGCCTGTGAGAAGGTCCCATCTTGCCACCCACCCCCGCCCCATCCCATCCCCCTGCCTTTATGGGAGACACTTTCCTTCTTACTCTCTCTCTCTCCACTCTTGCTTTTTGAGTCATACCTGGGAATGCAGAGGGGTTCCTCCTGGCTCTGCACTCAAGAATTACTCCTGGAGGTGCCCAGGGGACCATATGGGAGGTTGGGAATCGAACCCGGGTCGGCTGCGTGCAAGGCAAGCGCCCTCCCTGCTGTATTATCGCTCCAGTCCCAACTCTCTCTCTCCTTTTTGGGCATCATGGTTTGCAATACAGATTCCGAGAGACTATCACATTTGGTCCTTCATCTACGTTCAGCACACATCTCCTATCCTGAGCGATCCTTCCAACCATCACTGACTTAGTGATCCCTTCTCTATCCCAGCTGCCTTCTCCCCCAGCTCATGAGACTGGCCTCCAACCCTGGAGTGATCCTCCTGGCCCTTGTCTCTTGATATTTTATATTCCACAAATGAGTGCAGTCATTCTATGTCTGTCCCTCGCTTTCTGACTCATTTCACTTAGCATGATACTGTCCATGTCCATCCACTTGTAAGCAAATTTCATGACTTCATCTTTCCTGACAGCTGCATAGTATTCCACTGTGTAGATGTACCAAAGTTTCTTTAACCGGTCATCTGTTCTCGGGCACTTGGGTTGTTTCTAGGTTCTGGCTATTGTGAACAGTGCTGCAATGAACATACAGGTGCAGATGTCATTTCTACTGGGCTTTTTTGTGCCCCAGGATATATTCCCAGAAGTGGTATTGCCGGGTCATATGGAAGCTTGATTTCTAGTGTATTTTTTGAGTAATTTCCATATTGTTTTCCAAAAAGGCTGGACCACTCGGCATTCTCACCAACAATGAAGGATAGTCCTGTTCTCCCTGCATCCACACCAACATTGGTTTTTCTTGTTCTTTTGGATGTGGGCCAGTCTCTGTGGTGTGAGGTGATATCTCATTGTTGTTTTGATCTGCATCTCCCTGATGATTTGTGACGTACAGCATTTTTTTTCACTTTTTTTTGGGGGGGTCTCACAGATGATGCACAGGGGTTACTCCTGGCTCTGCACTCAGGAATTACTCCTGGCGGTGCTCAGGGGACCATATGGGAAGCTGGGAATCGAACCTGGGTCAGCCCTGTACAAGGCAAACACCCTACCCGCTTGTGCTATCCTTCCAGCCCCTAGAGCATTTTTCATGTGCCTTTTGGCCATTTGTATTTCTTTTTTGAGGAAGTTTCTGTTCATTTTTTCTCTCCATTTTTTTTTATGTGGGAGTACTGCTATTTATTCAGCCACTGATTAGCTGATTGAATTGGGCATAAACTCCACCTTACATTTTTTTTTCATTTTTCATAATTTTATTTATTGAATCACCGTGAGAGCAGTTACAAAGCTTTCGGGTCTAAATCTCGGTCATACAATGAAACACCCGTCCCTTCACGAGTGCCCATTCTCCACCCCCAACAACCCCAGTATACCCCCCTCCCACACCCTCCCCCTACCTGTGGGGCAGATGATTTCCACATTACTCTTTCTCTACTTTGATCACATTCAATATTTTGACACCAGACCCACCATTACTATTTGTCTCCATTTTTTGATGGGGTTGGAGATTTTTTTCTTGTACAGTTCTACTAATGTCTTGTATATCCTGGATATTAACCCCTTATCAGATGGGTATTGGGTAAATATTCTTTCCTATTCTGTGGGCTCTCTGTATTTTGGCTACTTTTTCTTTTGAGGTGAAAAGCTTCTTACTTTCATGTCGTCCCATTTGTCTGTGTTTGTTTCCACTCACTTGGGAGCCTGCGGTTGTCACCGGGCCTGGGTCACTGCAGTCCTGAGCTGGCGGTGGCAGGGGTGTGTCTGTGGGGGGTGTCCAGGAAGATGAAGACTCAAGACTGCTGTCCCTGCCCCGTGCCTCAGGCCTCTCAGCTGTGAAATAGTCATGCCCAGCCTTGGGTTCTGGAGAGAGTTTTTGGGCCTCCTGTGAGTTAGAGACTTTGAAAGCAATGTGCCCACTAACGCGAACTGGGGACCACAGCACGTGGGGAGGAGTGGGCGACCCCCCGGCTGTCTGTGAGTCAGCAGAGCGAACTGAACCCCGCCACATGGAGGCCTCCAGAGTCCGGGCCTGACCTCTGCCTGCAGAGGGAAACCGGGGTCCAAGCAGTGACCCTGCCCTGAGCTTCGAGAGCGTGGAGTCAGGGTTCAGGCTGAGGCTCTGAGAATCAGCTTCCCACCGGATGGCCCAGCCCGGGGCTGGGGGTCTCTGAGGGACTCCCAGCGGGCTGGTGTGCCAGTGTCCAGGGCTGGGGGTCCTCGGGAACCGGGTGCTCTCCAGGATTCTCTGCTCACATGTCTTCTCCCCAGGATGTCGCCACCATGCAGTTCTGCGCCAACAAGCTGGACAAGAAGGATTTCTTCGGGAAGTCCGACCCCTTCTTGGTGTTCTACAGAAGCAATGAGGATGGAACGTGAGTGTCCCTGCATGTCACCCTCTTGCTGGGGTCAGGGGTCAGTGGGTCATCCTGACTTGCCAGGAGTGTGGGGCCATCTCCTGAGTGCAAGGGGGACAGAAGGTGACATGGATGGGCTGCTGAGGGGGAAAGCACAGCTCCTCCATGCTGCCCTCTGCCCCCAACACACACACACACACACACACACACACACACACTCTCTCTCTCTCTCTCTCTCTCTCTCTCAACACGGACACACATGCACTTACACACATGCATACATACTCATATACTCATACTCACAGACACACACATTCTTACACACACAGTCTCATACACACAGTTACACACTCATACAGTAATACACATGCACACATTCACAAACTCATACTCACTTTGTTATAGACTCACACATACACTCCGAGGCAGACACACACAAACAGTCACACACAAATAGACTCATACTAGACACCCATACAGACACACACACACACACACTCACATATGCCTGTTTAGTCACACAGACACACACAGATACATACACACACTCACACAGACTTACACACTCTTAGACACACAGACCCACCACATGTTCTACAGACTCATGTCCATATCTATATGGACATATGTAGTCACACACTCATCTAGTCCCATACAGACACACACACACACACACACTCACATTACTCTCACATACACTCACAGACTCACACTCACACACATTGACTCCACACACACATGCGGGCAGTGTACATAGAGGTTTTCCGACAGAGAAGGCCCTGTGGGAGGGAGGAAAGGCTGACAGCTGAGGGGAGGGGCCATGTGGGTCTCCTTTGGGGGCGCTGCTGGCCTCTAGAGCTGGCACCCAGCCCGCATACCCCGCAGAGCCACGTTCCAGGCCGGCCGTGCACACACTCGCGAGGGGGGGCCCAGAGCTGCCCCTTCCCGACCCTCCCCCCCGCTCCCGCACTCTCCCTGGGATGTGACTCCAGAGCCACTGCTCTCGGACCCCCGCGCCCACCCCCACCCCCCAACTCTGCTGCTTGGGCCGCCTGGTGCCTCCCCAGTTCCACCGAGTCACAGTGAACCAGTGTAAACAGATCACAAAACCCGAACTCCAGCGTCTCTGCAGTCTCCTCCCCCCCTTCCCTAATCCAGAAGCCGCCCACCCGCCTCCGACCCCCACACACGACACAGATGCAAATGTAGGTCAACCGTGGCCACAGAGGGGCAGGTCTGGGGGGGGGGCTGGGGCCTGGTGGGGGGCTCCCTTCCCCTCAACCGTGGTTTGCCCAGCAACACGGACACATTGACGAGGGGTCTCAGAGCAGCCCTGCGGCAGCCGGAGTCGGCAGGGAGACTCGTCAGAGACACCCACCGAGGAAGGGACGGGGTCCCGTGGGGGAGGAGCAGGAGGGAGCGGCTGGAGCGCCGGGGTGGGGGTGGGGCCGCCCGCGGGTGTGAGTGTGAGTGTGTGTGTGTGTGTGTGTGTGTGTGTGTGTGTGTGTGCACGTGAGTGCTGGCGTGCCCGTGCGGGCGTGGGCGAGTGGGGGGCGGGTGGGCACGTGAGTGTGAGTGTCGGGGAGCGGGGAGGCAGGAAGGGGGTGTCTCAGCTCCGGTGGGGGGGAAATGGATTTTTAAAACCAGAATTTCCAAAACAAGGGAAATTAGGTGTGATCATTTGCATCACAAAAAGGTTCTTTGTCTCAGCCAAGGACTCCCTGCAGGATTGCTTTAAATAATTCCCGTTGACTCGACTTGACTTGAGGGCGGGAGAGAGGAGGCCCGGAGCCGTTCTGGGCGCTCAGTGGGTGTCTGCTGGGGTCTCGCCAGCGCCGCCAGCCGGGCCGGCTGCGGGTCTGGAGGGGGCGGCCAGGCGGCCAGAGGGGCTTGGGGTTTGAGCCGAGGGCGAGCGCTGCCAGGGTGCGGGGAGGCGCGGAAGGGTGGGCGGCAGGGCAGGGCTGCGTGACTGGCAGGGAGCGGTGGGCGGCGGGGAGCGAGTGGGAGCCGCAGGGGTGGGGGGTGGAATGGCAAACGTGAGCCCCCGTCCCGCCTGGTCCTGCAGCCGGGGAGAACGTCATGACAGTGGCCTAATGGGGAGCTGGGGCGAGGAGGAGGGAGCTTGGGAGGACTCGGGCAGGGTCAGCTCAGAGGAGCCCCCGGGCGGCTGAGGATGTGGGCAGTTAAGAGGGAGAGGGGATGGGGGGCATAGAGCCCCCCGCCCCAGGCTTCCGTGCCCCCCGTCCTGCCAAACCCACCCCCCCCCCCGGACTTCTCTGAGAGCAAAGAGGTGAGGTGGAGATGGCGCTTGCCCTGCCCTGCTGCTGCTGACATTTCTCTGAGCCCAGTCGGTGGAACTTTCTGGAATGAGGGGAATGCTCTGGGTCTTGCTGCCTAGTAGGTCGCTGTTAGCCGCCCGAAGGGGGTGAGTGCTGGAACGGGGCTCATGGACTTGAGGATTCCGGTTCCTTCTTTTTTAGTTTACGGTGTCGACAGCCACGTGTGGCTCACGGCCCCGGGTGACAGAGACATTCTCTCTCTCTCTCTCTCTCTCTCTCTCTCTCTCTCTCTCTCTCTCTCTCTCTCAGAGTCAGGGACGTTTGTCACCTACCTCCCACGCCCAGGGGGGCCCAAAGCAGCCACCTTGTGACCACACGGCAGTGTGGCAGGCTGCGCTCGGGCTGACCCCTGGCCCTGTGTCCAGTGGGCACTGCTGACAGGCCCAGGGATCCTGGGGGGTGCCGGGGGATTGGAGGCGGGGGCAGCTGCGTGTAAAGCGGGTCCTGGGTGCGAGCAGAACAGCTGCTCCCACCCTCCTCTCCGGCGAGAGGGAGAGCCGGCTGGGCTGCACCCACGGTCTCGCCTCCGGGTGTTGAGGCTCCTCAGCTGTGCTCCCGAGGCAGAGGGAGTGTGGGGGGGGGGCTGCGGCTGTGCTGGGGGACGCCGCAGGAGTGGAGGGGGCAGTCCAGACAGTTGCAGCCAGGGGCTGGAGCCATAGCACAGCGGGGAGGGCGTTTGCCTTGCATGCGGCCGACCCAGGTTCGAATCCCAGCATCCCAGGGTTAATTCCTGAGTGCAGAGCCAGAAGGAACCCCTGAGCATCGCCGGGTGTGACCCAAAAAGCAAAAAAAAGAAAACCAAACAGCTGCAGCCAGAGAATACCAACCACAGGTCCCTCAGACACCAGTGTGACCCCCCCCACCGCATCCCCCCCACCCCCCAGCACAGAGAACTGCCCCCCGCCCCAGCGCAGCTCTGGGTGTGGTGCCAGATTATTATAAAACAAATACAGAAAGTTTGCCTACAAAGTCTGTGTTCTCGGAGGGGACCGAGTCCCAGGGGCCTCCCTGCTGTCCCCAACCCCCCCCCCCCCCCCACACACGTCTCTCCCTCCTGGCCTAGCTGCTGCCCAGCAGGTCCTGTCCTCCCCTGGACTGGGGGCGGTGCAGGGCTCAGGGTGGTCTCCCATATACACCTGCACACTCCAGGGGCGGGGAGGAGGGAGAGAGAGAAACACTCCAGCGCCGTGACTTGAGAACTGCCCGAGAAATGGCTCGACTGTGTGGGTGCAGGCCTGGCACTCTGAGCCTCTCCGGAGGGAGCGGGAGACCCCAGGGCGGCCCTGCCTCTGCTCGGCCCTGGCTCCCCCCTGCTCCTCCAGGGGACGCTGGCCAGGACGGACCAGCTGAGGCTGGGAGGGGCCGTGGGGACACAGGCTGGGGCCAGATGTGAGGAGCCAGTTCTGCGCTTTTGGCCGAGTGGGCTCATGGGTTCTGTCTGGCGGAGTTTCATTTCAGAGGCATCTGAGCCAAAGGGCTTCAGCTCATGGCCTTGAAATGCTCGTGAAGGCCACAGAAACCGTCCCCCGAAGAACGCACTTATCACCAGATCTTACCAGGAAACTTGGGGGTGCAGGGCACGGTGAGGGGGTCAGGGGATAAGAAGCCTCCCTCTCTCCCTCCCTCCCTCCTTCCCTCTCTCCCTCCCTCCCTCCCTCCTTCCCTCCCTCCCTCTCTCACTCCCTCCCTCCCTCCCTTCCTCCCTCCCTCTCCCTGCTCCCTCCCTCCCTTTCTCACTCCCTCCCTCCCTCCCTCCCTCCCTCCCTCTCTCTCCCTTCCTCCCTCCCTCTCCCTCCTCCCTCCCTCCCTCTCTCACTCCCTCCCTCCCTCCCTCTCCCTTCCTCCCTCCCTCTCCCTCCTCCCTCCCTCCCTCTCTCACTCCCTCCCTCCCTCCCTCTCCCTCCTCCCTCCCTCCCTCTCTCACTCCTTCCCTCCCTTCCCTCTCTCACTCCCTCCCTCCCTCCCTCTCCTTTCCTCCCTCCCTCTCCCTCCTCCCTCTCTCCCTCCCTCCCTCCTTCCCTCCCTCCCTCCTTCCTTCCTTCTTTCCTCCCTTCCTTCCTTCCTTCCCTTCCTTTCTCTCTCTCTTTCTTTCTTTCTCTCTTTCTCTTCTTCTCTCTTTTCTTTCTTTGTTCTTTTCTCTCTTTCTCTTTCTCTCTTTTCCTTCCTTTCTTCCTTTCTTGGATTTTGAGCCACATCCAGTGGTACTCAGGGCTTAGTCCTGGCTCAGTGCTCAGGGATCACTCCGGGTGGGTTCAGGGGACCATATAAGGTGCTAGGGATCAAACCCAGGTTGGCTGTGTGCAAGGCAAACACCCTACCCACTGTTCTATTGCTCTGGCCCCTAAGAACCCTTTCTCGCATGTGGCCAACTCCAGTTCATCCCTGACATCACATGGTCCCCCAGGCACCACCAGGAGTGGTCCCTGAGCATCACCAGATATGCTCCCTATCCCCCCTCCCCCCGCCAAAAAAAAGGTGAAGAAATGTGTTGCCTTTTGCCTTTCCTCGTTACCTTCCTAAGCAGGACTCAGAGCCTTCCCTGCAGTCCCGGGCCTGGCAGTGAAGCTTGGGTCAGGCCAGCATGTGGGTGGTGCTGTTCAGAGCCCTAGGGGGCGCCCCGACCACCTCAGCCCCACTCAGGGACCCAGAATTGAAGGCCTCGAAGGGCCCCCGCATTCAAGGCCCTTGGATCTGTCTCTTCCCAATTCCATTATGGAAAAGCTTTCGGTCAGCAGTTGCTGCGTGGGCCAGAGAGACAGACAGGCTCAGAGCACCTGCCTTGAACACAGCTCACCCCGGTCTGATCCCTGGCACCACATGTGTTCTCCCAGCACTGCCCCAAGTGTGACCCTCATACGAAACTGGACCAGAGCAAATTGAAAAAGAAGTTACTAAATGGGACTGGAGTGATAGTCCAGCAGGTAGGTGCCCGTCTTGGACGCAGCCAACCCAGAGTTCAGTATCCAGCATCCCAAGCGGTCCTCCGCAGACATGCAGGAGTAAGCCCTGAGCACCAGCAGGTATGGCCCCAAACCAAAACAAACCAAAAGAAAGTTACTGAAGTATCAGATATTGAGGTTTCTTTGTTACTAGGGCCAAATCAGTGATCATATGAGACACAATCCTTGTTCTCAGGCAGCTTGCATTTCAGTCACACTCCACAAAAGAAGCAGAAAAAAGCAGACTAACTGAAATTCAAACGGAGCGATAGCACAGCGGGGAGGGCATTTGCCTTGCAGGTGGCCGACCCGGGTTCAATCCCCAGCATCCCGTATAGTACCCTGAGCACCACCAGGACTAATTCCTGAGTGTAGAGGCAGGAGTAACCCCTGAGCCTCACTGGGTGTGACCCCCCCAAAAAATTAAAATTCGAATGATGAGGCCAGAGACAAAGTACAAAGGGGAGGGTGTTTGCCTTGCAAGCATCTGACCCGGGTTTGACCCCTGGCCATCCCATATGGCCCCCTGAGCACCACTAGGAGTAATTCCTGTGCAGAGCCAGGAGTAACCCCTGAGCATCACAAAGTGTGGACCCAAAAACAAGACAAACCCCCCCCCCCCAAAAAAAAATTCCAAACAAAACATTCAGATGGTGGTGGGTGGAATGGAAAAAAAGAAGGAAGAATGAGAAGTCTGGGACTACCAGGGTCAGGATGGAAGTGGTTCATTTCAGATCGGGTGCTGAGGGGAGGAACTCTGACGGAGGAGGGCACGAGGGATGAGATGCGAGGGCAGGCTTGCGGGAGAAGATGCCAGCAGCCCAGGGCATGCAAGCCTGATGCCACCGACAAATGCCCAGGCCTCCCAGCCCCTGGCATCCATCCTGCCGTGGGTCACCGTGGAAAGATTTCTGGGTTTCTGGGTGAGGAAGGCGACCAGAGGGGTGGGACTTGCCGAAGGCCTTGTGGTGAGGGGGTCAGGAGTGGAGCCTCTGACTTCCGCCATCACCAGGAAGCAGCTGGACTTGGCTCAGATGCCCCTCGAAGGGCCCGGCGGGCCTCTGCGGGCCGCTCTTCCCTGACACAGGCTCCTCTCTCTCTCCCCAGCTTCACCATCTGCCACAAGACCGAGGTCATGAAGAACACGCTCAATCCCGTGTGGCAGACCTTCTCCATCCCTGTGCGCGCCCTCTGCAACGGGGACTATGATCGGTGAGACGAACACGTCCCTCCGGGGCGCGAGGCGGGGGTCAGTCGTGGGGGCCCCGGGGTGCCTGCCGCCTGCCCCCTGCTCCGCCCGTCCATCCGTCCTCCCATCCTGCACCCCAGGTGGCTGTGCCCCCGTCCATTCACTTCTTCCCTGCTGGGTTGGAAAATCCAGTCTATCCCCAAGCGCCACCCCCTGCTGGCACTGCCCCCAGCTACGTCAGGGGGAGCCTGGGGTCTGCCCGGCACGGAGTCTTCTCAGGGGCTCACAGTGGTGCCCAACAAATCCAGCATCTAGTCCTACGAGCTCCCCTGAGTCTGGGGATGGTGGATGTGAGCAGGCTCCCTGGGGAGAGGGGGGTGGGCACCGCGGTGGGCAGAGAGAGACAGATGCGAGCCTCTGCAGCTCCAGCGCCAAGCTTGTCTGCGACTGCCCTCGGGAGAGGCGTCAGAACCCCAGACGACGGGGGTGAGGTGGGGGGTGAAGGGGGCACAGAAGCCGAGGGCAGGAGACAAGACAGGGAGAGGAAGGTGTACTGGCCAGGCCATGGGGTCTGGAGCTGGGGACCCGCGTGGACAGCAGACGGCTTGCTCCGGATCCCCTTCACAGCACACCGAACAACCGTCCAGTGATCAGGGCCAGAGGGAGCACGTCTGGCCGGGTGCAGGCCTGGCCCGTGTGAGGTCCTGAGTTTGGGCCCTAGTGTGGATGGCTCCTGGGCACCGCGACCCCTGCCCAGCCCGGAGAGTGGCCCCTGTACAAGCAGATATCCTGGGGCCCCAGGACAGTGGGGAGGGAGCTGGGCTGGCCCGCGGCCGGCCCGGATTAGAGCCCTAGCACCCCATATGGTCCCCTGAGCACTACCAGGAGTAATTCCTGGGTGCAGAGCCAGGAGCAATGCCGGGTGGGGCCCAAAGCCAATGAATAGATATTTGTTTGGGAAGATAGTTCGGGGGTCAGGGGTCAAGGGACACATGTGTTTTTACTTGGCATCACAGGGTCAAGTCCTGTGGGTTGACCTTCATGGTTCCCGGCACCACCAGGTCTGGCCCCTGAGGTTTATGGGGCGTGGTGGGCCCTTGTCCTCTGAGCACTGCTCGTGAGCCCTGGCCCAAGGGGTGTTTGTTGTTTGAAAATGGGTTGTGAGGGTGGCCGCGCCCAGGAGAGGGGACGCATCTTGGCCACCCGGAGGGTGAGACAGTAATGGTCCCTGCAGGGGAACTGGACAGAGGCCAGGTGGGCTCATGGGGTAGGAGCAGGCGAGAAGAGATGTCCAGGAGGCCGGCCGGGAGGGGACAGCCCGTGAGGAGCCCCGAGCTGGGCCTGATGGTCAGGGACAGGTGAGGCACGCAGATGCCTGACCCCGTTGGGCCCCCCTGCTTTACACAGACCGGCGCTTTTTGTTTGGTTAGTTGTCAGTGTTTGGGCCCGACCTGGTGGCGCTCAGGGCTGACTCCTGGCTCTGTGCTCAGAGATCACTGCTGGTGGGACTCGATGGAGCATGTGGGATGCTGGGGAGCAAGTCCGGACCAGCCAGGGGCCAGGCAGGCAGACCCAGACTTTCTGTTGGGGTCACACGGGCAGTCTTCCTGGGGTCCCACGGGGGCCGCGTGGGGCAGGCGTGGGTGGGGCTCGGGGTCCCACACGCCAGGCCTTCCCTTACGAGCTACGTCTCCAGCCCCGACAGAGTCATTCTGGAAGTTTCCATTTCGCACGTGCCCCAGGAGTGGGGGTCAGTGGTGCACCCCCGTAGCATGGGGAGAGGGAGGATCTGTACCCTACTGGGATAAGGAGGAAGCCCACTCTCCTCCTTGGGGTCACCTGGGACTGTCCCTCTGGTTTGGGGTTCCCCTGTCTGCCGGGCTGCAACCCACCAAGGTTAAGCCCGTGGGTGAAGCTGGAATGGGCTTCAGGTCAGCAGTGGCCGGCGGAGGGGACAGGACCACACCCCCCCAAGGGCTGTCTGGTGACGCTGTCCCTGCAGGGAGGAGGTGGGGGTGGGGCCCCCCATCGCCAGCACCTCACCCTTCAGTGGTCCCTGATGAGGCCTAAGGGAGCCTCATCCTCACACACATTGCTGAGCTCAGAAGGGGTATCCGGGAGGCCTCCCAGACCCTGTCAGCCCCCAGCCCCAGATGCCTACGGAGGCTGCCTCAGTGGGGCTGGCCGTGTGCCCAGGGAAACCTGTGCTCTTCCCTCTGCGGCCAGTGCCGCACTCCACCCCTGATGTCCAGGGAGCCCCCATGCACACACTGGCTGCTGGACCCAGGGCTTGGCATCCCTGGTGAGCAGCTGTTGACGTTGGGCAGACTCCGGGTCTCCCTCTTGCTCTGTGGCCGAGGCCCGTTCTCCCCGCGGCCCTGGGCCTGTGTGAACACCTGGCCGCTGCCTCCGTCCTGTTCTGGAAGCCAAGGGTCCAGCAGAAAACTGAACAGATGGCCCCCGGCAGCATGCAGCCACATCTCGGTGGGCACAGCACTGCTGTGGGCCGGGCCTGGGAGGGGAGGCCCGGCTGTCCAGACAGGGGCTGCACACGCCCAGGCCACTGTGTCAGTGGTGGATGCCCGGTTCCCACAGCACCTCCAGGATGGGCAGAATCACTCCCCTTTTTAGTTTGCTTGAGGTGTTTGGGCCACACCCTGCTGTGCTCGGGGCTTGCGCCTGGCTCTGTGCTCAGGGATCACTCCTGGCAGGCTCGGAGACCAGAGGTGGTATGGAGGATTGAGCTCAATTGGCCACGCGCAAGGCAAATGTCTTAACCACTCTGTGCCTCTCTCGGACCCTTTGAATTAGTGTTTGTATGTTTTGGGGGCTGGAGCGATAGCACAGCGGGTAGGGCATTTGCCTTGTACGCAGCCAACCTGGGTTCGATTCCTCCGCCCCTCTCAGAGAGCCCGGCAAGCTACCGAGAATATCTCGCCTGCACGGCAAAGTCTGGCAAGCTCCCCGTGACGTATTCGATATGCCAAAACCAGTAACAACAAGTCTCATAATTTGTTGTGAGATGTTACTGGTGCCCACTCGAGCGAATCGATGAACAATGGGAGGACAGTGCTACAGTGCATGTTTTGGGGGCAGATGCCAAGAATTGGAGTTCCTGGGTCAAGTGAAAGTTACTCTTACTCTTTTTTTTTTTTTTTTTTTTTTTTTTGCTTTTTGGGTCACACCTGGCCATGCACAGGGGTTACTCCTGGCTCTGCACTCAGGAATTATTCCTGGCGGTGCTCAGGGGACCATATGGGATGCTGGGAATCGAACCCGGGTTGGCTGCATGCAAGGCAAACGCCCTACCTGCTGTGCTATCGCTCCAGCCACTACTCTTACTCTTAGAGAAACTCCCAGACTGCTCCCTTTGAGGCTGATCCAGATGACACTCCACCAACCAGGGTGGGTTACTCCCGACACTGGTAGTTTCTGGTCTTTTTTATGGGGGTCACCCTTGACAGTGCTCAGGGCTTACTCCTGGCTCTGCTGAGGGGACCATATGGGTTCCGGAGAGGGAGCTGAGGCCACCCGCATGTACAATAGGTGCCTTGGGCCCCTGTGCTGTTGCTCGACCCTATCTGCTCCCTTTAGATGAGTGACTGGTCGCAGGGGTGAGGCTAGAGCACGGCTGGGGCCGCCTCACTGCTCCTGTGGCCCTGTCAGTACCCCCCCTCACCCCCTCCCTGGGCAGAGTCTGAGTTCGGGGTGAGTTTTGTTTCGTGGGCAGACCTCATTGTCCCATGACCAGGGGTCCTTTCTCCCGAGTGTGACCTCCCCCGCCCAAAGTCACAGCGAGTTTGATGGGAGCCTGGGAACTAAAGCCTGCGGCCCTCAGGGCGCATGGGACAGCCTGCTGGGGATGCCCAGTGAGAAGAGTTGTCCAGAGAGTGGCCAAGTCCCGTTTCTGCCATGCCTTCCCGGTCTCTGGCTCCCAGAGGGAACATTACAGCCTCAAGACCAACAGCGCCCTGGCTGCGGGGCCACCTCTGAGGTGGACCTCAGCTGCCAAGTTCAGAGCCTTGAAGAGCTTTTAATCTGCCCCATCCCACGCTGCAGCCCAGGCCAGTGGAGTCTGGCTCCCGGTCTGGGGCGAGGCAAGGCCCCGAGGGTCGTTCACAGTCTCCTGGCGGCCCATGGGCCACTAAGTTTAGGGATGGGGATGAGTGTTCTCTTCTGGAGTGGTCAGCAGCTCTGTGATGGGACGGAACTAGGGTCAGATGCGTGCAGGGTGAGCGCCACCCACTGCCCTCTCTCCCTGGCCCTGTATATAGTAGTATTTCCACGTTCCCAATGCTGAGGTCTGTTTGCATCAGAAAGTACAGGTAGTTCATTGGCATCGCATGTGGTTCCCCGAGAACTGCTGGGAGTCATCCCTGAGCACAGAGCCGGGAGTATTCCCTGAACACTGCTGGGTGTGGCCCAACACACACACACACACACACACACACACACACACACACACACACATATGGCTGGTGAGAGAGATAGGTTGGAGCAATAGCACAGCGGGTAGGGCGTTTGCCTTGCACGCAGCTGTCCTGGCCGACCCAGGTTCAATTCCTCCGCCCCTCTTGGAGAGCCAGGCAAGCTACCGAGAGTATCTTGCCCGCGCGGTAAAGCCTGGCAAGCTACTCGTGACATATTCGATATGTCAATATGTCATATCACAAGTCACAAGTGTCACAATGGAGACGTTGCTGGGCCCACTCGAGCAAATCGATGAACAACGGGAGGACAGTGACAGTGAGAGAGATTGGATAGTGATTCAAGTTCAGGCTCTGGGCACAGAGCCGGGAGCTCTCCCTGATGACCACTGGGTATGGCTCAAGTCCTCATCCCCGGCCTAGCACGTAAGTGCCCAGTGCTTGGGGTTCTGCGGGCGGTGGCTGTGGCTAGACTGGGTCAGTCTCCTTCAGGACTGTGGCCGGGCACCCCTTGCTGGGGAGGAGCAGGCAGCAGCGTGGCCAGACCCCACCTGTTCTGTGACCCTAGGCAAGTCCCTTAGGACTCAACCTCCAACCCATTTCCTGCACACTGTTCAGGGAAGTCTTTAAATTTTTTTTTTTTCAGTAGATTCCTGGGCTGTGCCCAAGGCCGAGAGCAATCTGGAAAGCTCCCTGGCAGTGAGCAGGCAGCTAGGCTCAGACTGATGTTGGTGTGTCATTCTCAGGGGCCCCGAGTGGCAGTCCCCAGGTACAGGGGACTTGATTTGGGCATCCCCAAATCAAGGCAGTTTCATGGGGGAAGATCCCAAGGGCAGTGAACTGATGAGGTGGAGGGAGGGAGGAAGCCTCTGACAGACTTCCTGTGCTCAGTGGGTATTCACTCTCTTTTAAAAATGATGGTTCTAGGGCTGGAGTGATAGCACAGCGGGTAGTGTTTGCCTTGCACGTGGCTGACCCAGGTTTAATCCCCAGCATCCCATGTGGTGATCCTAGCACTGCCAGCAGTAATTCCTGAGTGCAGAGCCAGGAGTAACCCCTGAGCATCGCTGGGTGTGACCCAAAAAGAAAAATATCAATAAATAAAATAATGGTTTGCAGGATCAGAGTGATGGTACCGCAGGTAGGGTACTTGCCTTGCACTTGGCCGACCTGGTTTGATCTCAGGCATTTTATATGATCCCCAGAGCACTTCAGGAGTGATCCCTGAGTGCAGAGCCAGGAGTCAGCCCTGAGCACTGCTCCAGGTGGCTCCCAACCCAACAACAATTAATAATTAACAATAAGCAAAATAAAATAGTGGTTTGGAACTCGAGGTTAAGGCTCTTGCCTGGTATGAGCCTGAACCGATGCTTAAATTCTTCTAAAGGCTACAGAGGTGAACAGGGACATGGCGGAGGCGCTGGTGTAGCCTTGGAACCCCCACTGCGATGTGTTATGGGCCCCCAGCACTGCCAGGAGTCCCTGGGTGTGACCCCCAACAGAAAACAAAAAAAAATGAGCCGATGGCTGGGAGCAGGGTCAGGGACGGTGCTGGGATCCAGGAGTCCCGGGACCACCCTTCCCTCCCCGGAATAAACGATGGTTTGGGGCTCCTGCAGGTGGAGGTAACACCGGTGGGGGCCTATCCCGCTGCAGCCCCGCTGAAGGGGCTAGATCTGAACGGAAAGGGGGTCTTTGGGGGCTTCCCCAGACCTGGACCAGTCTGCCCATCTGCGGGGACACAACAGTCTGCTTGCTCTGCCCGGGGGCCCCCCCCCCCCCCAGGCCAACTCCCCCAGTCCCAGGGCTGGGTAGGGGGCGGTCCCGGATGGGTCTCCCGCGCCGCGCCGGGCATCCCTGGAGGCTGCCCGAGTCCTCCCACCAACTCTGGGCCCGCCTGTTGCCATGGAAACGGCTAAAAATAAACCCGGGCTCCCGAAGCCCAGCCTGGTGCAGGAGTCAAAACAAACGGATTCAAGCCGCCAGGCTAAAATGCTAAGATAATTACACGGGAGGAAGTGACCTCCACCCCTGCCCCCAGGGCTCCCCCTCAGCCCTCCTGCCACCACGCCCCACCTCCAAGTTCCTCCAAGGGGACCTGAACTCCCCGTGGCCACGGAGATGGTGGGGTGAAATGGGACTGTTACCCACCTGCCCTGAGCGCCCCCTCCCCAATTCTACATGGAGCCACTCGTCCCCCTTGAGTCCCAGGGCCGTTGCTCTGGGCCTCGGGTCCATGTCCGCCCAGGACCCGGAGCCCAGCCAGTGTTCCCTGCCCCACTCTGGCCACAGCCCTGTGCGTGGGGTCTCACCCACACTCCCACGGGCCTTTTGCTTTGCAGGACCATCAAAGTGGAGGTGTACGACTGGGATCGGGACGGCAGGTAAGCAGGGGCGGGCCCCAGCTGGGCACCCCAGCCCCCAGCCCCACCAAGTACCGGGACCTCCCTGCAGGGGCCCGAGGCCTCCTGCCCACCATCCAGTGGCTCAGCCGGCAGCCCTCCTGCCCTGGGATGGAGACGCAGACCCCAGCTGGAGCACCGCTGTGGACTGTGGACGCGGCTCAGGGAGGCCTGCAGGGCCCCTCACCGAGGCCAGGGGCTGCCTGGAGCCTTTAGGGCCGCCCCCACCCCCAGGGTCTGCTCGAAGGGAGGCAGTGTCATCAGGGGGCGACAGAAGGGTGCCCGATGCACTGGGGTGCTTGGGAGCCTGGCTGGGGGAGGGCAGCCGGTAACCCCGAGAACATGCTTGGCCTTCATAAATGAGAGAACGGCTCCCCCGCCTGCCTGCAGAACCAAGTCCAGGCGTGTCCACTTGAGCCCTTAGGCCCTGGTCTGTGGGCGCCCCCCAGCAGGAGGGTGGGTGTTGCGCTTCCTTCCATGAGGCCTGTGTTGGGCAGACGCCCTCCGCTGAGGAGCTTGCCAGGCTCTGTCGTGTGGGTGCCTGGAGATGCAGTGTCCCCTAGCCGCACACCCTCTGGTGCTCACCGAGCCCTCCTTCAGGGCGATCAGTTCTGCGGGTCACCTGCATCTGCCCCCAGGGCCTGCCCCCTGTAGGAAACTTTCTCAGACCCGCCCTCAGGGAGCTCCGAACAGATTGTCAAGGTAAAGTGGGAGCTCAAAGAAGGACACAGCCAGGGGGCACCAGCAGGACCTGGCCAAGCACTGGCCAGCACGTCCCCTCCAGGGGCAAGGGCAGTTCTGTGGCAGATGTTCACACACAAAGCCACTGGGCCGAGCCCCACCCCGCAGTGCAGGACCCCTGGGCCTGGGTCCCGTACCCGGTATTGGGGATGCTCCAGAGTCAGTGGCCATCAGCGGCCTCTCCCCTGCACCCCCCCACCCCAGCTGTCCATCTCCCAAGTGTGCTTCCATGCGCAGGTGAGCTGTTTACCTCTCAAGACTTCTGGGGGACAGCGAGGGTACAAGAACGTTTTCCGGCCTGACACAGTGCCCCACCCATCCTGACACAGTGACCCATGTCACCGAACCCTTCTCATACCCCCTTCACGTTCAGGGTTCCAGGTGGCTCCCCCTCCCACCCCCATGCCCCCCCCATGCCCTTCCTTACTTGGAGTGGTCCACAGGTCAGTGGGCCCCTGCACCCAGGCCTCTCTCTGTTGGTGGTGGCTGGTTTCTTTTTTCTTTTCACTTTATTTAAACTACTGTCACCGTAAAACTGTCATCCCATTGTTCATCAGTTTACTCGAGCGGGCGCCAGTAACGTTCTCCATTCGTCCCAGTCCTGAGATTTTAGCCGCCTCTCCTTACTCGTCTTTCCCAATGTATTAGAGGCTCTTTCAGGGTCAGGGGAATGAGACCTGTTATAGTTACTGGTTTTGGCATATCGAATATGCCACAGGGAGCTTGCCAGGCTCTGTCGTGTGGGTGGGATACTCTTGGTAGATTGCCGGGCTCTCATATATATATGAGATATATCTATATACCTATATCTATATATCTATATCTATATCTATATATATATGAGAGCAGTGGTCTCATATATATATATATATATATATATTTCCCTCTATGATTTGTTGCCTACTGTCTGAACCCCATCAAATATGCTCGGGGGACCATATGGGATTCTGGGAATCGAACCCAGGTGGGCTGCATGCAAAGCAAATGCCCTACCTGCTGTGCTATTGCTCCAGCCTATATATGTGCGTGTGTGTGTGCGCGTGTGTGTTTGTGTGTGTATTTCCCTCTATGATTTGTTGCCTACTGTCTGAACCCCATCAAATATGGTGTGGTAATTATGGAAAGTGGGTAGGGAGTGTCTTATTTAAACTACAAAGTTGTTAAAATACAAAGTTGTTCACGATGGTTTGTTCCAGGCATTCAGTATTCCAGCCCCAATGCCGCCACCACCACCACCACCGTCACCTTCCCTCCACCATTATCCCCATTTCCCAGCAATCCCCCCCCCCCCAGCCTACCCTGTAGCAGGCCCAGATCATTTTTTTTTATGCTCTTACTACTAAATGGCAGGAGCGATAGCACAGCGGTAGGGCGTTTGCCTTGCATGCAGCTGACCCAGCCAACTCAGGTTCGATTCCTCTGCCCCTCTCGGAGAGCCCAGCAAGCTACCAAAAGCATCTCACCCGCACGGCAAAGCCTGGCAAGCTCCCTGTGACGCATTCGATATGCCAAACACAGTAACAAGTGTCACAATGGAGACGTTGCTGGGCCCGCTCGAGCAAATCGATGAACAACGGGAGGACAGTGACAGTGACAGTGACTGAATGGCTAATGAAATGACCCGAAAATATTTCAGTAAAAGAAAGTTTGTGAGCACGGTTGCATCTCACCACAGGGCACCGAGTCCCTGCATCCCTGTCGGAGGGTCACTTGCGGTGGCTGGATTAGTGTCTTCGTTCGCCAACTCCCTCACACTCTGCTGGCCCCTCCTGGGGTGTTGGTGCTGTGCAGTTGGAGATGAGCGTCTGTGCCATCAGCAGGTGTCTTGGTCCCTGGGACCCTGAGCCTGCCCCGACCGCAGAAGCAGGAACCAGGCCGGGCGGGAGGCGCGGGGCAGCAGGAATGCAGCCAGGGCTCTTCTCTTGCAGCCACGACTTCATCGGGGAGTTCACCACCAGCTACCGGGAGCTGGCCCGCGGGCAGAGCCAGTTCAACATCTATGAGGTGAGGCCGCCGGGCACCAGACGGCGCGTGATCCCACTGTCCCGTGTGCCAGGCTCTGCCGGCTGTTGTCTGTCTTGGGCGGGTGTGACTGTCCCGTGAGGAGATGGAACTTGGAGATGTCAGGAGCCACCTCCATAGAAGTGACGGAGTGAGATAAACTCGTGTATCCACCCCAGGGCACCGAGTCACAGTGCTCACCCACTCTACCCAGCACCTCCGACGGGGTAGATAGGGGATGCTGCGGGGGGGGGTGGCAGGAGACCTGTGGAAGCAGAGTTGTACAACGGTAAGGTGCTTGCCTTGCGTGCAGCCAAATGTGATCACGGGGGCAAGCTACATAGGCTGCGCCGACCACTGCCAGCAGTGACCCCCTGAGCACAGAGCCAGGAGGAAGCACTGAGCACCACTGGACGTGGCCCCAGTGACAGAAAGCCCCAGAGATCTGGTGTCGGCTGGGGGAGATGGCGCAGAGGGCCAGAGTGTCCAGGGCGTGTCCAGGGCCCGGTTGGATCCCTGACTCCACAGGATGTGGCCCCCACACAAACCAACGAGCTAACTGAAATAACAGATCCTGGGGCTGCAGAAACACCAGAGTGGGTTGCGTGCCCGCCTTGCATGTTGGGCCGATGAGTTTGAGCCCTGGACTCCCATGTGGTTCCCCGAGCACCACCCGGAAAACTCCTGAGTGCAGAGCCAGGAGTAGCCCCTGAGCATCGCTGGGTGTGGCCCCCAAGCCAGAAACCAACCAACCAAAGCCCCAGGTTGACCTTGTGCCTGCCGTCACGCAGTTGCTGGTGACTAGCACATCCCCACAAGAAAGGCACCAGGACAGCAGGAAGGGGACATTGTCGTCTTGGTTTCTGTTGTAGGCTGCGCCCAGCTGTGCCCGAGGCTCCGTCCCGGTGGTGCTCAGGGAACCATGCCCAGCCTGGAGCTGGCTCCACTTCCCCCAGCTTGGTCTGGGGGCCCTGCGTTTGCTCCCCAAGGGAGGCCTGTCTCCTGTCTAGCCTGGCCTCAGGTGGCCTCCCCTGCTCTCGGGGCCCACCTTTCCACCCTGGGGACCGGCCCCCTGTCCTGATTCCACCACTAAGCAGCCCCTGGTCACAGCGGGAATCGAGGCCATGCACTGGGGATTCCAGACAACAGTTCTGGCACCAGGAGTGTACTGCCAGGCAGGCTTCTGGAACCATCTGTGGGTGCCTGTGTGCAGCACGTTGACTTCCTGAGTCCCTCCCCCCCCCCCCCACACACCCCAGCTTCAGGCAGAGGTTCAGCCTGGGAGGGGCCTGATTCCTCTGGGCCTCTGCGCCGGCCACGTCCTCACCCTGTCCTTGAGGCGGAGGGCCGGCAGGCTGGCAGCCCTGTCTGGTGCCCCCCTCCCACACTGTCCTGGGTCCCTGGATTATAGATCCACACCCCAAGTTGAGTGAGGCTGTTGTAAAGGGGCTTTGATGCTCACAGGAAGTCGCTTTGATTCTGCTTCTACAAAGGGAGGCGCTCTCTTGGCCCCCCACCCCCACCCCCAGCGGGCTCAGCCTTGGTCTGGCATTTAGGAGGCTTTCGGGGGGGAGGGGGGAAGCAGTCAGGCCTCTAGGATGTCGTTTCTCACGGTGTTTGAGGGGCCAGGGAGAGAACAGGAGTGGGGTCCTAACGGAAGCAGTGGCAGGGCGTGGAGGGGTCTTCTCTCCCCCAGGCCGTTGGGCAGAGAAGGCACAAACTCACAGCCCTGTGTCTGGACGGGTCCCTGGGGCTGTCTTATGCCCTGACATCACCCTAGGTGCTGGTTATTTCGCAGACACCCCCCCCACGGGACCCCTCCTGCCAACCCTGTGTCCATGCCATCTCATCACTGTGGACCCTGCCACCTGAGGGGAGGGGGTAGACCTCCTGCCTGTCCCCTACCTCTGCATCCCCAACCCTTGTGCCACCCGAATATGCCCACATTTCTTTTTTCTTTTGGGCCATGCCCAGTGATGCTCAGGCGTTACTCCTGGCTCTGCACTGTTATCACTGTAGCCCTGTCCTCCCGTTGTTCATCGATTTGCTCAAGCGGGCCCAGTAACGTCTCCATCGTGAGACTTGTTGTTACTGTGTCTGGCATACCGAGTATGTCACGGGGAGCTTGCCAGGCTCTGCCGTGCGGGCGAGATATTCTCGGTCGCTTGCCGGGCTCTCCGAGAGGGCCGGAGGAATCGAACCCGGCTCGGGCGGGCTGGCTGCGCGCAAGACAAATGCCCTACCACTGTGCTATCAGCTCTGCACTAAGGAATCACTCCTGGCAGTGCTCGGGGGACCATATGGGATGATGGGAATCGAACCTGGGTCAGCCGCATGCAAGGCAAAAGCCCTCCCCACTGTGCTATCACTCCGGCCCCAGCTCCCGCATGTCTTCCCTTCAGCTCTGGGCACTGCCACTGTGGCATCTCCCCTGGGCATGGGCTTCGCCACTGCCTCTCATCAGCCTTCTTGGGAAACTGCATGTTGTGGCATCAGGGGTCAAGCTGGCATGGGTCGTGTCCAAGGCAAACACCCTACCTGGGCTCTCTGCCGCCCCTTCCTGCCTCTCTCCACCTCCTGTCACTCAGTGTCCCTCTAAACTGGCCTCTGGCCACCTCGCCGCCCTGTCCACCCACAACCTCAGGCCTGCTCACCCAGGGGAGGAAGTGGGGCACTTGAAGCTACACCTCCTTGCTGGCAGGGGTCCCCCGGGTACTTCCTGGGGGAAGGCACCTGTGCGTGAGGAAAACACACCTCGCCCACCCGTCTGCCCACCCGCCCCCTTCGTGCCATCCCGGGCTCTGAGCGCCCATTCCTGCCCTGTGGCCTCATCAGCTCTGGTCCCTCACTCTTCTTCACCTGGTTGGGCACGCTGGGTCTTTAGAGACACTCTTGGGAGCTCCTCCTCCAGGAAGCCTTCTTGGCTTGCACGCCATCTCTACTTCCAAGTCTTCCGTGCCTCCTCCACCCCCTCTCCACCTGTCTGTCATACTTCTCACCTGGTCAAGGGCCTTGACATCCTGTGTCTACCCCTGGAACCAGACCGGGCATCGGGAAGTTCTCAGGACGACCCCTAGAGGGCGCCAGACCCCAACGGAGGCCGAGAGGGCGGGTCCTCTTGGGCAGGGTGCCTGGAACCCCGGCCCGCTGCTTTCCTGCGGGAGCGGGAGTGGGCACTGAGCAGGGGCTCCAGCCCTGGAGCAGCTCCCCGTTCCCAGTGGTCACTTGGGGGTGCTGTTGCCCCGGACCCCATTGCCTGTCCCAGCTGAGCCCCTTGGACAGTGTGGTCGGGTGAACAGTGTCCCAGACTCCGCACTCCACACCCCAGCCCTTCACAGCAGCACAGCTTTAATCCCATTTCGCAGCTGGCAAAACTGAGGCAAGGGGAGGTGTAAGTAACTGGCCTCGGGTCTCACGGCTGTCAGGAGGCAGAGCCCGGCAAGCGTTTCCCTCCCGCCCTGGTCTGGGAGTTGGATGCCCGTCCGCGGAGAGAACGTCAGCGGTCCCTGCTGCCTGCTAGGGACACGCACACACCATGCTAGGGACACGCACACACCATGCTAGGGACACGCACACTGCAGGGCCTCTCCCTGTGTGCGGTCTGCACTGCTGCTCTTCTTCTGCAAGCCAAACTCGGTTATGGTATGTCCCTCCCTCCCTCCCTCCCTCCCTCCCTCCCTCCCTCCCTCCTTCCTTCCTTCCTTCCTCCCTCCCTTTCTTTATCTTTCTTCCTTCTCTTTTTCTCCTTCCTTCCTCCCTTCCTCCCTCCTTCCTTCCTTCCTTCCTTCTCTCCCTCCCTCTTTCCCTCCTTCCCTCTTTCCTTCCTTCCCTCCTTTCCTCCTTTCCCTCCCTCCTTCCTTCCTTCCTTCCTTCCTTCCTTCCTTCCTTCTCTTTCCCTCCCTCCCTCCCTCCCTCCTTCCTTCCTTCCTTCTCTCCCTCCCTCTTTCCCTCCTTCCCTCTTTCCTTCCTTCCCTCCTTTCCTCCTTTCCCTCCTTCCTTCCTTCCTTCCTTCCTTCCTTCCTTCTCTTTCCCTCCTTCCTTCCTTCCTTCCTTCTCTTTCCCTCCTTCCTTCCTTCCTTCCTTCCTTCCTTCCTTCCTTCTCTCCCTCCCTCTTTCCCTCCTTCCCTCTTTCCTTCCTTCCCTCCTTTCCTCCTTTCCCTCCCTCCTTCCTTCCTTCCTTCCTTCCTTCCTTCTCTTTCCCTCCCTCCCTTCCTTCCCTCCTTCCTTCCTTCCTTCCTTCCTTCCTTCATTCCTTCCTTCTCCCTCCCTCCCTCCCTCCCTCCCTTTCTCCCTCCTCCCTCTCTCCCACCCTTGCCTCTCTTCCTTCCTTCCTTCCTTCCTTCCTCCCTCCCTCCCTCCCTCCCTTTCTTTTTCTCCTTCCTTCCTCCCTCCCTCCCTCCTTCCTTCCTTCCTTCCTTCCTTCCTTCCTTCTTCTCTTTCCCTCCCTCCTTCCTTCCCTCCTTCCTTCCTTCCTTCCCTCCTTCCTTCCTTCCTTCCTTCTCTTTCCCTCCTTCGTTCCTTCGTTCCTTCCTTCTTTCCTTCCTTCTCTCCCTCCCTCTTTCCCTCCTTCCCTCTTTCCTTCCTTCCCACCTTTCCTCCTCTCCCTCCCTCCTTCCTTCCTTCCTTCCTTCCTTCTCTTTCCCTCCCTCCCTTCCTTCCCTCCTTCCTTCCTTCCTCCCTCCCTTTCTTTTTCTTCCTTCCTTCTCTTTTTCTCCTTCCTTCCTCTCTTCCTCCCTCCTTCCTTCCTTCCTTCCTTCCTTCTCTCCCTCCCTCTTTCCCTCCTTCCCTCCTTCCTTTCCCTCCCTCCTTCTTCCCTCCTTCCTCCCTCCTTCCTTCCCTCCTTCCTTGCTTCCTTCCTTCCCCCTCATCCCTCCCTCCCACCCTCCCTCCCTTCCTTCCTTTCTTCCCCCTTTTCCTCCTTATTTATTTTTCATCTTGGGCTCATACTCTAAGGTGCTCGGGACTGACTCCTGGCTCTGTGCTCAGGATCACTTCTGGCGGGGCTCGGGGGACCCGCATGCAGGCACCCTCCATCCGCGCACCTGGGCTCCCCTCTGTGGGTGCTCGGTTGGTTTGGGGCCACACCCGGCTGTGCTCCGGGAGCGGTTATGGGGATCGAACCCAGGCTGAACGCAAGACAAGGGACGTTTAGCCCCCACACCCGGCTTTTAAAAATCGTATTTTGGGGCCACCTTTGTGGGTGCTGGGGGTGGGGTGACTCCTGGCAGTGCTCCGGGGACCATGCGACGCTGGGGATCCGACCTGAACCTCTGGCACACACACGGTGGTCCCGCCCGCTCCGTCTCCCCAGCCCCGCACAGCACCTGGAGCTGTGACCTGACCCAGCACAGGATCAGTGGCAACTGTTTCAGGAACCAGCAGGAAGTTCCTGGGTGTGAGTCCCTGTCTGGACGTCCCGGGAAACCGCAGCGACCCAGAGGAGAGGTGGCCAGGCAGGCGCGGCAGTCGCCACGCCCAACCCAGGCCCCTCTCGGTGGTGCCCTGCACTGCCCGGTGACGCCAGCACCTCCCTCCCTACCTCCCTGTCCCCCGACACGTCTCCTGGCTGGCGGCCAGCAGCCACCCCTGAGTCAGCCCACCTGCAAAACTTTGTCTGCGGTGCCAGGAGTGGAACGCGGGACCCCACGCACACCAGGCAGGCGCTGGGCCGCGGCCGCGCTCTGTCGACGGGGAGGGTGCAGGACAGCTCCCTTTACCTGTTCACGTACTTGGGTTCGGGCCGCGCTGCCTGCCCGCTTGGCAGGGCCTGGCCACGCTCCTGGGGGCAGGGGGCTGGGCTGGAACCCGGGTCAGCCGCACACCGGGCCAGGCCCAGAGGAGGGGCAGAGGGCGAGGAGGAGGGTGTGAGCCTCTGGGCAGGCACTGTGGGGGAGCCCGGGCTGGAGGGCGTGTTTGCAGGTGGGAAGGAAGGTTAAATCAATATTATTCCTGGTGTTCAGCCGTGGGACGCTGGCCAAGCTGGGAGCCCCGTTTCGTAAACCCGAAGGCCACTTTCCCACAGAGGCCTCCTCCGCAGAGCCCCGTCCCCCCGGCCGCGGGCCAGCGCCCACACCTGCCTGGGGGCTCCGGCCTGCTCCCTGCAACTTCTGTTTGTTTGTGTTTTCTTGCCTTCAGGTGGTAAATCCCAAGAAGAAAATGAAGAAAAAGAAATATGTGAATTCTGGCACGGTGAGTTGGCACCTCTCAGGCAGGTAGGGAGACACGCCCCCAGCCCGAGTGGGCGCCTCCCGGCGCTCAGAAGAGCAAGAGTGTGAGAACCTAGGGCTGGAGCGATAGCACAGCGGGGAGGGCGTTTTCCTTGCACACGGCCAACCGAGGTTCGATTCCCAGCGTCCCATAGGGTCCCCCGAGCACCGCCAGGAGTAATACCTGAGTGCCTGAGCCAGGCGTAACCCCTGTGCAATGCCAGGTGTGACCCAATAAGCAAAAAATAAAAGTGTGGGAACCACAGTGGCAGGGCGGGGTGGGTGGGCGGGCCGCCGGCTGACTCCAGATCCCGCCTGAGCTTGGCCTCTCCCTCCGTGACTTCCTTCCTGGGGCAGGAGATGTGCGCCCCTGTGCCCGGCTGCGACATTCTGAAATTCCCCTTTCAGGTGCATTTCGCAGCCCTGGCCCAGAGGCACCTTCTCATGCCTTGGTCATGGAAAGGGAAGCAAGACGGGAAGTGACTCAGGCCCTGTCACTTGGTTGTTGGTGACTGGGCTAGGCTGGCCTGCAGGGGGTGCCGCCGGGTTGGGGTATTCCTACCGGTGGGCAGTGCCCCCCCACACTTGGTGGGGCTCCAGGGCACCTGTCAGAATGGAACCATAGGGGGCTAGGGTGATAGCACAGCGGATAGGGCGTTTGCCTTGCACGCGGCTGACCCGGGTTCGATTCCCAGCATCCCAATGGTCCCCTGAGCACTGCCAGGAGTAATTCCTGAGTACAGAGCCAGGAGTGACCCCTGTGCATCACTGGGTGTGACCCAAAAAGAGAAAAAAAAAAGAAGAATGGGACCGTAAGTGCTCAGGGTGGGCACAATGTGGATAGAGCATAGAGCCAGGCCTCACCCAAGTGAGTGATTCCCCCCGCCCCCGTCCCAGCTCAGGGCACCACCTGGCCCCTCAAAGCGTTTACTGAGCTTCTGATAGCCTGGCCCAGTGTTAGCAGGAAGGATGCCTCCTGGGGGCTGTGGGGAGCTCAGACCCCAGCACACATCTCTCGCGTGCAACGCAGGAGGACTGAGAGCTGTGGACAGCACCTTCCAGCGGGCAAAGGCCAGGGAGTGCCACCATCAACAGCCTTACCTGAAGCAGTCCAGGAAAGCTTCCTGGAGAAGGAGACATTTGAGCAGGGGCATAGAGAAGGGTGGAGGCAAGTTCAAAGGACACTTGGGGGTCGGGAGACTCTAGCTATAGGGGCTGCTAGTGCAGAGTCTGCAGGGGCAGCACGCAGGGCGTCTCCAGAACCAGCCAAGGCCAGACAGTGCAAGTACAGATGGGCCCGGGCACTCCACCTGCATCTCTCCTGCTCTGGGCCCCTGGCCCCCCTCAGCAGAGGGGGTGCTTGCTGCAGCTCGGACCCCCAGGCCTTGGGCAGGAGCTCTCGGCCCCTCTGAGGAGCCTGTCTCTCCCGCCTGCTTCATGCGGAGAAGCAGAGAGGGTCTCTGCCCACCCACAGCCTGTGGCACTGTCTCAGACGGCTCAGATGGGTCCCTCAGGGTGGCCGTACTTCCCCAGCCAGGGCGCTGAGAGCACAGGGGTTCCTCCTGGCTCTGCACTCAGGAATTACTCCTGGCGGTGCTCAGGGGACCATATGGGATGCTGGGATTCGAACCCTGGTCGGCTGCGTGCAAGGCAAACGCCCTCCCCACTGTGCTATCGCTCCAGCCCCTGGGTGGGTGCTTGCCTTGGATGCAGTTGACCCCCAGCACCCCATCTGGTCCGCTAAGCACCACCAGGAGGGATCCCTGAGCACAGAGACAGGAGCCAGCCCTGAGCACTGCCAGGTGTGGTCCCCGAGTCAAATAAAGTCAAAGAAAAGGAAGAGAAAAAGAAAGAAGAAGCCCGCTGGTCTTGTCCACAGCTAAGGGAGGGCTGGCCTTGCCCAGGCCACACAGGGTTGTCCAGGAGGAGGCCCAGTTCCCCTGCGCCCCGTGCTCAGCCTGGCTGTTGTCGAAAAAGCGTCAGGAGCCAGAAGGTTTGTGGAGTGCAGATGCCCAGCAAGGCCCGAGACTCGTAGGCGCTGCCTCTCTCTTTGCGGGGGGGGGGGGGGGGGGGTGCCACGTCCAGCCGTGCTCAGGGCTGACTCCTGGCTCTGTGCTCAGGAATCACGTCTGACGGTGCCTGACAGGGGACCAGGTGGGGTGCCAAGCACCAACCTTTCCCCGCCGTGCTATCGCTCCGGTCCTGCCTTCCCTTACCTGTGCCCAGTCCTTATCTGTGCCCAGGGGTCTTCCAGATGGCCAGGAAAGGCACTCGGCCAACCCGAGGCTCCCGGGGAGGGTCCTGGGCTTCCTCCAGGTGGCGAGCGCCTGGGGGATCCTGGGCTGCAGGTAGAATCAGGTGAGGGGTGGAAAGGCCGAGCTCAACCCAGCAGCACCGTTGCGGGGGTTGAGGGCTCCGATTCCATGTGTGCCACGACCGCAGCTCGGGAGGCTGTCTGTCCCGCAGGGCTGGGCCGAGTGCAGCCTGCAGCCTCACCGGGCGTCTTTGAAGAACTCTGCGTCCAAGTTGGTTTTCCTGAGAAGAGACTTTGTCCATGTGGACACCTCACTCAGTGGCCACAGTGCATTTGTGTGTGTGTGTGTGTGCATGCATGTGTGTGCGTGCGTGCGTGTGTGCCTGCTGAGAATGTTTATGGATATGTATCTGTGTGATGTGTGTATGAGTGTGAGTGCGTATATGTGTGTATTGTGTAAATGTGTCCAAGTGTGCGTTTATGAGAGTGTATTTGTGTATGTGTACATATGTACGTGAGTGTGCATCTGTGTAGGAGTGGAAGTGTACCTGTGTATGTTATGTATGTTTGAGTGTGTTTATGTATGCGAGTGTGTATGTGAGTGTATATAGGTGTGGGTGTGTATAGGTGTGATGTGTGTGAGTATTTGCGCGGGTGTGTTTGTGTGTGGTCTGTGTATGTATGTGAGTGGGTGTGTGGTGGGTGTATGAGTGTGTGATGTGTGTATACGAGTGTGTGCTTGTACATGTGTGTTTGTGTGTATGTACACGAGTGTGTGGTGATGTATGTATTTTTGTGTGTAAATACATGTATATGCGTGTGGTGTGTATATGTATGTGAGTGTATATTTGTGCAAGTGTGTTTGTGTGGTCTGTGTACGTACGAGAGTGTGTGTTGTGTGTGTACGTTATTGTGTGTGTGGTGTGTTATGTACATGAATGTGTGGTGTGTGTATGAACGTGAGTGTGTATGTGTAGTGGGTGCGTGTATGTGAGTGTGTGATGTATGTGTGTATGTGAGTGTGTATTTGTGCAGGCGTGTTTGTGTGTACGTGTATGTGTGTTGTGTGTATGTACACGAGTGTGTGTGATGTATGTATGTTTTGTGTGGATGTTTGAATACGTGTATTTGTGTGTGGTTTGCATGTATATGAGTGTGTATTTGTGCATGCATGTGTGTGTGTGTGTGTGTGTGTGTGTGCTGCGGGAGGTCTCCAGGACCCTCCCACTCCTGGCCAATGGCTCACAGGTTTGTCACCCACTGTGGCCGGCCCTGTGAGGGGGTGAATTTGCCCTCAGGGCTCCCGAATCATGTGTTGGCGGCTGAAGGGAGACACAGCCCACCTCACACTGCTCCCACCTGAGCTGCCCCAGGAGCCTCTGCTCGGGAAAGGGGCCCCTGGGGTCAGCAGGGAAGGGGCAGCCAGCCGGGGTCAGGGGCCAGGGGGAAGGCCAGCCAGCCGGGGGCAGGGGACAGGGCCAGCTGCTGTGGAGTCTGGGCTGTGGGTCCGGCCTGGAGAGGAGCCCAGGTCTGAGGGGATCACAGGCAAGGGCGGGTGGACGGCAGCTGTCGTGTGCCTCTGACCCCACGCAGGGCAGTGTCTGCCTCAGGAGACGCGTGCCCAGGGCTGTGTTCGGACCCCAGGGGGCAAGGCTCTGGGGTAGCTGGCACTGTCAGGGGGGTGGGCTGCCCCGGCTGGCGCAGCCCTGGACACCAGCATCAGTGGCCATGGCTGTGGAATGGGGAGAAACGGCCCGGGAGGCAGCACAGCAGGGCGGGCGCTGGCCTTGCACGCGGCGCCCCTCGTTTGATCCACGGCCCCCTCTCTGGCCCCGGAGCCCCCCAGGAGTCATCCCTGAGCACTGCCAGGGTGTGTCTGGCACAAACACCGAACACTCAGTCTGAACGAGGAGTCGAACCAAGAGTGGGAGCGGGGGCCGGACTGTGCGCGCGTCCCTCCCTGGACGTTGTCCTGACCAGCCCCTGCCCCCAGGTCACGCTGCTGTCCTTCGCTGTGGAGTCCGAGTGTACGTTCCTGGACTACATTAAAGGAGGGTGAGGAGGGCTGGGGGCCTGTGGCCTGGGGGGGCTGTGGCGGGGGGCGGCAGGGCACCCACATCTGTGTGTGACGACTGGGTCCGCTGTTCTTCCTGGGTCTCTTCCACGACTGTGAGGGGGGCTCTGAGCAGACCCCCAGGGGCTCCGCCGGGGCGGGCCCTGCGCCCTGGGGGCAGGCAGGGGCGTCCCTGAGCAGAGGCCCGGCCTGGCTCTCAGCAGGTGGGTCGTGGGCTGTGGGAGGAGAGCGCCCGGCTCGGGGGAAGCCCACAGCTGCTCGGGACCCTCAGCTGCCCGGGTATGGGTGGCCCAGGGGGCATCAGCGTCCTCCTGCAGAGTCTGCCGGGGGAGTTGGATGAGTTCCCAGGCTCCGAGCTCCGACTCTGCTCCTTCTGCTGGGGCAGGAGAGCGTGTGGGCGGGCAGGGGCCGAGCCGGGGCTCCCAGGGTGGGCAGGGTGGCCAGACGAGCGTCTAAAGAGCAGAAAGAAGCGGGTGGTCACTGTGCAGCGCCCAGCGGGCCCTGCGGCACCCAGTGGCAGCACCTGCCTGGAAGGGAACAGGTGGGCGAGGCTGGAGTCCACCTGGCGGGAAGTCTGTGCCCCACCCCCCACCTCCAGTCGCCCCCCACGCCCCTCCCTGCCGCCCCGGCCCCTGGGCCTCCCAGGCCAAGCCAGTCCTTTCCCTGTTGGTGCCTGGCGCTCCCTTCCCCACGCATCCTGTCCTGAGAAGGAGTGACTGACCCTGGGCGTGGCGCTGGAGGGGTTAAGGGACTGGGGGCCATCAGGGTCCCCAGGAGGTGGGCACCAAGTGTGTGGCAGGCCAGACGTGCTCCACGCCTCTTGGAGCCTCCCTCCAGAGCGGCCTCGTGAGAGCTGGCCGGGCCCAGAGCAGGTGTGGCTCTGAAACAAACAAAATAGAAAGAAGAAGAAGAAGAAGAAGAAGAGGAGGAGGAGGAGGAGGAGGAGGAGGAGGAGGAGGAGGAGGAGGAGGAGGAGTCGGTTGGCCTGTGCCACGCGCAGGGTGTGGGGTGTGGGGTGCGTTTTTCTCCTGTAGTGCCCCCGGCAGGATTCTCACAGAAGGGTGTAGGGGCCCGACCGCCACCCTGGATGGGGGTGTCTCGTGTGCTGCTGTCCCGGGACCCCCAGGCCTCCTGGTCCCCGCGGGGCTGTTTCCTGAAGTCAGCAACACAGGGGCCGCTGCTCCTGCAAGGCTGCACAGTGGGGACACACGCGCCTTTAACCTCTCTGCTTTGGGGCAAGCGGACGTTTGAGCCGGAATCTGACTCCAGATCTGAGCCAGGAGCCCCGAGCTGCTCCTCACCCGCCAGATGCGGGGCAGGAGGAAGGAAGCCACGCTGGGATGTGAGCTTGCAGGCAGAGCGCCGACCGGGGTGTTCCACACTGCAATTTAGGGGCTCAGACCGTCTGTGGGGCCACCACCCCGGTTTCCCAGAGCCAGAAGGACTCCCCCAAGGCCACACGCAGTGGGGATGGGGTGCAGGGGTGGGGGGAGGCCTGGCACCTCCGTGGGGTGACGCCCTGCCCTTCTCTCTAGGACCCAGATCAACTTCACGGTGGCCATCGACTTCACAGCCTCCAACGGTGAGTGGGACGGAGGGGCAGGCACTTGGCCCCCGGACTTCCCACCAGGGGTCACCGCCACAGGGCCTCAGCTGTCCCCAGACTCGGCCACGCCACTGGCAAGTCTGGCTCTGGGCTTCATTCCCGGGGGCCTCGGTTTCCGGGGAGACAAGACAGAGCTGCTCTGTGCTCCGGGAACCAGCCCCGGGGTCTGTGAGGTGGGGACGAGGGTCAGGCCAGGGGTTCGGGTGGCAGGGAGGGGCAGGCCTGGGACCCCGCCGGTGTGACCAAAGCTGGGTCTCCTGCTCTCTAGGGGGGGTCCCAGGGCCTGGTGCCGTAGAGTGTGTGTATGCGTGTGTGCGTGTGCACATGTTCGTGTGTGCGTGTGCATATGTGCGTGGGTATGTGTACGTGCGTGTGTGCACATGTGTGTGCGTGTGCGTGTGTGTGAGCATTGTGTGTGTGCGTGTGTGTGAGCGTGTGTGTGTGTGTGTATGTGTGTGTGTGTGTGAGTGCCTTAGCGAGGGGGCAGTGCAGTGCAGACACTTAGGGAGGAAGGTGCCTATGGCCGGTTGAAATTCTCCCCGGCGGCGGCGGATGAGGCAGAGACAAGCGCTGTCATCGGGGAGGAGCTGAGGGACTCCTGTCTGGGCCACCTGCTCTGATGAGACAGGACAGCCTAGGACAGGGGGTGGGGCGGGGGCTCAGGACAGTGCCCACAGGAGGAGAGAACCCAAGGGGCGAGGAGGCCGGCTCTGGGACACCTGGGCACGGTCCCCAGCCAGGAAGCAGCCGCAGCCCGGCCTTGAGCGGGAATGTCAGAGCTGGGATGTGAGCACGCGGCCTCCAGAGCCCAAGAGGGGTACAGGGCTCTGTGGGCTGAGCAGAGGCACCAGCAGCGCCGAGGCCGTGGGCGCGTGGGTCGGGGTGCAGAGGAAACGTGGCACCCCAGGGCACAAGCAGAGGCAGGTCAGCAGTGAGCAGGAGGGGCTGTGGGCTGGAGAGAGCACAGTGGGGAGGGCCCTTGTCTCGTCTGCAGCCAGTCTGGGTTTGGTCCCCCGCGTCCCATATGATCGGAGCACAGCCAGGAGAAGAGGCTGGTGGGTGGCACAGCTCAGAAGTGGAGAGGGAAATGGGGCGGGGACGAGAGAGGGAGGGAGAGAGGGAGGGGAGAGGGAAGGGGAGGGGGAGGGAGAGGACGGGGAGGGAGAGGGGGAGAGAGGGAGAAAGAGAAGATGGGGGAGGGAACAGGAGCCCACGTGGGGCGTCCGCCCAAGCAGGGGAGCTGAGGGGGCGGGCGCCGTGTGTGCCCTGCAGGGAACCCGTCGCAGTCCACCTCGCTGCACTACATGAGCCCCTACCAGCTGAACGCCTACGCGCTGGCGCTGACGGCCGTTGGGGAGATCATCCAGCACTACGACAGTGACAAGATGTTCCCGGCCCTGGGCTTCGGCGCCAAGCTGCCCCCCGACGGCAGAGTGTCCCACGAGTTCCCCCTGGTAGGGCGAGTCCCGGGGTGTGGAGGTGTCGGAACCTGCCCCCAGCCTGCCCCCAGTCTGCAGGGCCCAGGTGGGCTGCAGCCAGGAGGGGGGTCCCTGCCATCCGGTCCCCAGCCGCCGCCCCACCTGCTGCCCTATCTTGGGGTGCAGGTCCCGTTGGCACCCCAGGACATGGGGCGGAGTGCAGGTTCAGGGCCGGGCCCTCCGTGTGCTCCCTCCGTGCTGGGTCCAGGGTTCCTATCACACCCCTCCCCCCCGAGATGTGTCCGGAGCAGGCCAGGCCTGCGGGCACTGCTCCCCTGCCCAGCCCGGCTTCCACCCCACCCCGTGCCCCCAGAACGGCAACCAGGAGAACCCCTCATGCTGCGGCATCGACGGCATCCTGGAGGCCTACCACCGCAGCCTGCGCACTGTGCAGCTCTATGGCCCCACCAACTTCGCGCCAGTGGTCACCCATGTGGCCAGGTGAGCCCCCCAGCACTCACCAGAGGACCTTCCCCAGCTGTCACCCCAGGGGGACGGGCCGAGTGGCTCCCTCGTCGACTCAAGTTCCGGGGTGCCCCCCCCAAGTGTCCCGGGCCTGAGGGTGGGCAGAGAGAGGGTGGCTATGCCCCCGCCCGCAGCCCCCGCCCGCCCCCCCAGGAACGCGGCCACCGTGCAGGACGGCTCCCAGTACTCCGTGCTCCTGATCATCACCGACGGGGTCATCTCGGACATGGCGCAGACCAAGGAGGCCATCGTGAACGTGAGCAGGCGGACCCCCCTCCTGGTGGGAAGCCTGTGGGTGGGGAGGGGCAGAGGGAGAGGGGAGAGAGACCCTCCTTGCACACCCACCCACCCGGACTTCCCCACTCAGGCTGCCCGTGAGCTGGCTCCCCTCCCTGCCTCCCCCTGTTCCCATGCCTCTGTCCCTCCCGCCTTCCTCTGCCAAGCCCTTTCCTGTTCCCTCTGTCTAACTGGCCCTGACTGAGCGCACCCCCAATTTCCACTCTCCCCAGGCAGCCAAACTCCCCATGTCCATCATCATTGTCGGCGTGGGCCAGGCTGAGTTTGATGGTAAGTGTCCAAGCCACCGGTGTCAGGGCCTTGGGGGGGGTGGGCGCGGGGTGGGGGTCCTGAGCGTGCACCCCGGCTGGGCGGGCAGGCTCACTGGGGGTGCGGTCAAGGCTGAGCCGCTGTCCACTCTCCCCCTCACAGCCATGGTAGAGCTGGACGGTGACGATGTGCGGGTCTCCTCCCGGGGGAAGCTGGCCGAGCGGGACATTGTCCAGGTGAGGACCCACCCTCCTGGCCTCATGCCCCTTGTGGGCTAGGGGGGTGGGCAGCAGGGGCCCACCCAGCCCCCAGAGTCCATCCTGGGGCCACGTTCTTTTTTTTTTTTTAATTTTTATTAGTGACACAGTAACAACAAAGTCTCCAATGGAGACGTTACTGGGCCCGCTCGAGCAAATCGACGATCAACGGGAGGGCCTTTACCTTTACCTTTACCTTTATTAGTGAAACACCATGAGGTACGGTTGTAGACTTACAAATTTTTGTGCTTGGGTTTCAGTTGTATAATGATCGAGTACCCATCCCTCCACCAGCGCCCATTCTCCACCCCCACCAATCCCAGTATCCCTCCCACCCACCCCCAGTTCCCCCATCCCACCCTGCCTCTGTGGCAGGGCATTCCCTTTTGTTCTCTCTCTCCTTTTGGGTTTGCAAAAGAGGCATTGAGTGGCAATCATATTCGGTCTATAGTCTGCTTTCAGCATGCATCTCCCATCCTGGGAGGATCCTCCCAATACCCTTTACTTGGTGCTCCCTTCTCTATCTGAGCTGCCTCTTCCCCTAGCATGTGCAGTTGGCCTCCAAGTGAACCTCCTGGTACTTATCTCGGCTATTCTTGGGTGTTAGTCTCTTATTTTGTACTTTATATCCCCCAGATGAATGCAATCTCTCTATGCCTGTCCCTCTCTTTCTGACTCATTTCACTTAGCATGATACTTTCCATGTGGTACCACTTGTATGTAAATTTCATGACTTCATCTTTTCTAACAGCTGCATAGTACTCCCTTGTGTAGATGTACCAAAGTTTCTTTAACCAGTCATCTGTTCTCAGACACTCAGGTTTTTTCCAGATTTTGGCTATTGTGAGCAGTGCAGCAATGAACACAGAAGTGCAGATGTCATTTCGACTGTACTTTTTTGCTTCTTTGGGATATATTCCCAGGAGTGGTATTGCTGGGTCAAATGGGAGCTCAATTTCTAATTTTTTGAGAATTGTCCATACTGTTTTCCAAAAGGGCTGAACCAGTCGGCATTCCCACCAGCAGTGAAGGAGGGTCCCTTTCTCGCCACATCCGTGCCAGCACCAGATGCTTTTGTTCTTGTGGATGTGGGCCAGTCTCTGTGGTGTGAGATGAAATCTCATTGTGGTTTTGATCTGCATCTCCCTGATGATTAATGATGTGGAGCATTTTCTTATGTGAGGGGCCATGTTCTTTCTGGACCGTCCCCTGCCTGCGGGGCCTGCCAGCAGAGGTCCCCACGCCTCTTTCTGAGTTCCCTGCCAGGTCCCCTTCAAGGCAGAATCGCAGCCGAGAGCAGCTACTGACCCCCGGGTGGGGCTTTCCGGGACCGCTGGTCAGTGCCCTAACCCCTCTGGTGGGCCTGAGCCGCGCCAACGGGCCTCTGCCCACACACACCCGAGTCCACCCTGGCTCCTGCAGGTGCCTGCGTGCCGGGAGGTTCCGGGGGCCTGGCAGAGTCGACACCTGCTGTGCAGGGGCTGTGTGGCCCCGAGTACACCATGTGTGGCCCCAGGGGCCTCCGCACACTGACTGTGGGGAGCACTGCTGGGCGAAACCCCTGTCTTTAATGTTTTTATTTTGGTGCTTAGCATTCAGGGCCCACTCCCAGCCCATACCCGGGGGTCTCTCCTGACAGTGCTCAGGGGACCCGCCCATGGACAGCACCCAGCCTTTTATGGTGGTGGTGGGGGTCAGTGGGGTGTTGGCCACACCTATTGGTTCTCAACTTCCTCCTGGCTTGGCTCAGGGGTCACTCCTGGAGGGCTCAGGGGGTCATGTGCAGTGCTGGGGATCAAACCTGGGCCCAGCAGTGCCAGGTCAGTGCCCTCCCTGCTGTGCCATCTCTCTGGCTCCCACAGCGTCCAGTTTTATAAGAGACATTCTCTGTTACCCTGGTTTTAAGATGGGGATCAGAAGGGCTCTTGGGGGTCTGTGTTCCATCTCCATCGAAAACGGGGGGGCTAGAAACCAGGGCAGTGATGGCCGGGGAGCACCGCTCTCGTCTGGGAGCACGTGGGAGCAGGAGATGCTCTGTGAGAGCAGCGGGGAGGGACAGAGGGTGAGTGGCTGACACAGGGGGTGTCCAGGCCGCCTCTGGGACCCATGCCGCGGCTGGACCTGCCCGGGGCGCGTGTCCTGAGTGGTTGTGCTGCGTGAGGGGGGCCGAGTGCCTGGTCCTTCCCATCAGGGCTGCAGCCCCCCCAACCCTGCCCCTCCCGCAGTTCGTGCCCTTCCGGGACTACGTGGACCGCACCGGCAACCACGTGCTGAGCATGGCGCGCCTGGCCCGCGACGTGCTGGCCGAGATCCCCGACCAGCTGGTGTCCTACATGAAGGCGCAGGGCATCCGCCCGCGGCCCCCGCCCGCGGCCCCCGCCTCCCCGCCGCAGTCCCCGGCCTCTCCGCAGCACGCCAGCGTCTGAGCAGGGTGCGGAGGGACGCTTTACACCATAGGCCGGGCCCTCCGGAGACCCCCGCCCGTCCCCACGGGTGATGGGGATGCGGGTGGGGTGGTGGGCTTCCCACCATCTCTGCATCCTGACTCAGCCGGGAAGTGGCTATTGGACCTCTGCCCCACCCCCCATAACCCAGGTGGGCGTCCCGGGGGTCTCCCTCTCCCTCCCGCCTCCCAGGGTTCCGCCTGGACCTGGGCACCCCCACCCCCCGTTTCTACCCTGTGCTGCTCCCAGTGGGCTGTGCGGTGGGCGGGGAGGAGGCCGGCGCTCCTCGGACCCTGGACCTGTGGGCACCTCCAGGCTGGACGCTATGGCCAGGCAACCCCCTCCCCCCAGGGCCCACAGAGGCCACACTGGGGTCCAGACCCTTCTCCTCCGGCACCTGATGGGGCTCAGTCTCCACAGCCCACGCCGGCGGCTCTCCCTCCGCCTCAGACACCCTGGCTGTCCCCCCCCCAGGCCGCCCTGACTCGGGTCACCCTGTCTCACCCTGGTCCTTCACCTCGGGCTCCCGTCCCTGATGGGGGAAGGTGGGTGGGAGACGTTACCATCCCCTCCTCTGCCCGGACGCCCCTCCCTGTCCCCTTGGGAGCAGGTCAAGCATGCCAGTCCCCTCGGCCGCATGCTCCCCTCGTGCATGATGGTGGCCGTGTCCCACAGTCTGGTCCTGTGCCCGTCTCCGAGACAGTCTCTGTGTGAAAGTTGCCTTAAACAAGTACATTTGGTTCTTTTCCTAAATGAGCGCCTTGTTTTCCTTCCTCCCCTTGAGAGCGGCACAGATGTGGGGCCAGAGCCCGGTTCTCTCCCTTCATTCTTCTGCCGGGAACTTACTGAGCGAGGCCTTGCTTGGCAGAGCCTGTGCTCGGCACAGGGATGCAGCCACCAGCAGGGGAGCTCCCTGTGTCCGCGGGGAGCTCACGACAAACACACAGAGGAGACCAGGGGACAGAGAGGGGGCAGAGAGGGGGACAGAATCACCGAGGCCCTGAGAGGTACAGAGGAAAACAGGAGGGATGCGGGATGAGAGAGACAGGTGCGACTTTAGAGGAGATGGCCAAGGAGGGCCTGAGGCAGGAATGTGGCGACTGAGATGGAGAGAAGGAGGCCTGTCTGATTCCTCAGGGAGGAGCAGCGAGTGCAAAGGCCCTGAGGTCAGGGCCGGGGGTATTTAGGGTATTTGATAGGAACAGTGAGGCCCAGTGGGGTAGGAGTGGGAGAAGGCAGGAGTTGGGAGCACAGAGGTGAAGATTCCAGAATGTGAGCTGGACAGATGGTTCACAGCCTGTGAGCTGGGAGAAACTCCTGCCCACTGCGCCGGGAGCCGGCCCCAAGATGAGAGCAGACACAAAACCACGGTCTGGAATGCACTTGGAGTCATGCTGGGCCGTGGACGCGTGGGAGCGTGGCCAGACCCTCCCGGGTGGGGACACAGCCTTGCCCCAGGCCTCCACTCAGAAAATGTGGCCGTCCATCCAGGGGGCCTGCAGGAGGGGCTGGGGTCGGCGGGCTCAGTCGTGTCCATCTCTGCTCCCTTGCATCAGGGAGAGGCCACATGGGCGGTGACAGGTGTGCGACAGGCTTGGGGCCTGTGGAAACTGTCCTCTTCATGCTGGCTGGGGAGGGGGCACCTCTGCCCCAGCCCCCTGCAGCCTAGCCCGGGGAGGCCAGGGCCTGGGGCGCCGGACATGGGGCTTGGTCGCCTCTGACGATCCCATGTGAATCCAGCTGACTCACACCCTCTCGTCACGGGGCGCCGGCTGACGCACCCCGATACGCCCTGCGCGGAAACAGGGTGTGTCCTGCACAGGGCAGGGAGTTTCCTGGGAGCTGCTGGCCTCGCTGAGGGCCCCTGTGGAGGGCCCGGCAGGGGAGGCCCGCATGGCAGGGGGAGCAAGGCCCAGAGTCTCCACATGGTGCGCTGGGCTCCCGCCCACTCGAGGACAGGGTTTCTCAGAGTCCTTTGCAGCCTGTGGCTCTGTGTGTGTGTATGTGTGTGTGTGTACATGTACGTGGGTGTTACTGTGGGAGATATGTGTGTGTGCATGTGTGCTTGTGTGTGAGGGTGTTCATGGGTATATGTGTGAGTCTGTAAATGTATATGTGGGCCTGTGTGTATGTGTGAGGGTGTGTGAGTGTATGTGGGTGTGCCTTCTATGTGTGTGCATGTGGGCGTGTGTGTATTGTATGTCTGAGTGTGTGTGTGGGCATATGGATATGCGTGGGTGGGGGCTATTTATGGGTATTGTGCAAGAGTGCATCTAGACATATGTGGGTATGTGTGCATGTGTACATCTGTGTGTATGTGTGGGAGGCTGTGTCTTGGGCATTTCAGGACCCTCCTGGTTCTGGGACAGTATGTGTGTGTGTTCACGAGGTGGGGGGGGGGGGAAGGCCGAGGACTCGGGGCTTCCCAGCGGGGTTGGGAGGCTGCACCTGGCGCTGGTTCTGCAGAGGGAAAGAGACCCCGACGCGGCGTGTGGGACACAGACAGCTGCTCCGGATGCACAGCCTGGCCCGTCTGTGGGCTTTGCAGGATCTCTGTGGCTGGAGGGGGTGTGTGTTGGGGGGGGAGGAGGGAGAGGTGGGCAGCAAAGGCCGCAGGGGCAGCCGTACCCCCGCCCAGTCTCCAGCCCCACCTTCTTCCTCCATTCGCCTCCTTCTGCCTTGGGAGGTGCCTCTTGTCCACTTGCCCCGTGGCCCTGATGAATCCACATACAGTGCTCACGAGATGCCAAGAGCAGCCTCACACGCGCTGGGCTCCAGGTGCTCTTCTCTGCCCCCAGGACGAGGAACTCCAGGGAGAAGGGGTTGTGGTGATCCCATGTGCCAGGCCAGGGAACTGAGCAGGAGTGACCACGTGGTGAGGCCAGCAGCTGGGGGACAGCATGGTCAGTCTGGCCTGTTGCCCTGGACCTCAGTATTTCTTTTTATTTTTTTTTTAAGCTCAGAGTGACTTTTACCAGTCATGTTAATAATACACAAGTCAGACAGACAAGTACAAACATAAACCAAAAGAACATAGACAATGGACAAATTCCATTTAAAAAAAAAAAAACGTGTTGGCCAGTAGTATTGGTTAAATGGCTAACCACAGATAATGTATTTTGGAAAAGGTTGGAATAGCCAGAAGTCATTCAAACAGCTATGTATAGTATCGGCCAAGATTAGTTTATGTTCATAAATGTTGAAGAGAAACAGGGCAAAACACTTAAAAAAAAAAACCTATCAATACAGTCAAGTATGAAACTTGGGACGGGTAAGGAAATTATATTTAAAAAGTCAGGGAAGAGCCTTATCGGGAAAAAAATCACAAAACCAGTAATATTTACTACATCAATAAAACAGCATTACAAAGTGGGTGGAGGAAAGCACATTTACCCAACGCCCTAGCTTCCGAGTTCAAAGAGGAGGAAGGCAGAAGGCTGCTCTCATCACGGGCAGCTCCGTACTGCACACAGTTCTTCCAAGAAAGCCTCGGAACAATGATCTTGAATGCTACAAGTTTACAGCGAAGGCAAAACTCGAAGAGCAGCAGATTCACAAGGCAACCCTTGCACAGGCTGATCGTTCCGTGGTTCGTGCAAGGCCTGCGAGCTCAGGGTTTCCACCAGTAACACGGGGGCGCGGGCGCTCATCTCTCTAAGCCCCCCCATCTCTCCAGCAACGCCCCGTCTTGGGCTGCCTCCTCAGACCCCCGCCGCACCCCCGAGGCCGGGCGGGGCGCGCTCTATCCCCACGGCAGCTCCCCTGCCAGCCCCGGGAGGCCGGGGGGCCCACGGCCAGCGCAGGAGGTCCCGGAGGCCTGCTCGGAAAGGGCGGGAGAGGTAGAAGCAGAGGAGGGGGCTGACGGCGCAGTTGGAGTAGGCCAGGAGGACGCAGAGGCTGGAGGCCACGAAGGCCCCCAGCGTGTCCGGCAGCGCCCCCACGGCCGACAGGTAGCCCAGCACCGAGCAGGGCCCCCACATCAGCACGAAGAGCCCCAGCACGACGAGCAGGAGCCCCGTGTTGTCGCGATGCTCCCGCAGGCTCTCCCCGGGGGGGCCCCGGGGCCGCGTCCTCAGCAGCCAGCCCACGTGGCCGAAGGAGCACCCGAGGCCGAGCACGCAGGGCAGCACGGCCAGCGCGCCGAGCAGCGCGAAGTAGCGGGCCGCCTGCGCGGGGCTCAGGGGCAGCAGGCAGGCCCGGTCCGGCCCGGCGCCCGCCAGCCGCTGCAGCAGCCAGTTGGGCAGCGAGGTGGCCAGCCCCAGCGCCCACGCGGCCGCGCAGAGCAGCAGGCGCGCGGCGCGGCCGGCCGGGAGGGCCACGCGCGGCGCCCGGGCCACGGCGGCGTGGCGCAGCAGGGCGGTGGCGCCCATGCTGTAGAAGGTGCAGAACATCGTGGCCGTGTTGGCCGCCTGGCTGAGCGTGCACAGCGCCGGGCCCAGCCACCAGCCGGCCCGCAGGAAGCTGAGCCCCTGCACGGGCACCACGCAGGCCAGGAAGAGCAGGTCGGACAGCGTGATGTTCACCATGAGGCTGTTGGTCAGCGCCAGCAGCGGGCGCACAGGGCCGCGCGGGCCCCGGCCCACCACCAGCAGCATGAGCACGTTGGCCGGGAGCCCCACCAGCAGGATGAGGCCGCAGGAGGCCGCCAGGGCCACGCGCAGGGCCGGCCCCGCCCCCGCGGGCGCCGTGGCGTTGGGCTCCGGCCCCGGGGCCATGTCCTGCGGGCACACGAGGCCGTTAGCGCCCACTCCCGCCTGCCGCCTCCCCGCCCCGCCGCGCGCACTGGGCACGCACGGTGCGCACCGCGCGCACTGACCGCATCCTGGGCACGTGCACGCTGGGCATGCACGGTGCGCACCGCGCGCACTGACCGCATCCTGGGCACGTGCACGCTGGGCATGCACGGTGCGCACCGCGCGCACTGACCGCATCCTGGGCACGTGCACGCTGGGCACGCACGGCGCGCACCGCGCGCACTGACCGCATCCTGGGCACGTGCACACTGGGCATGCATGGTGCGCACCGCGCGCACTGACCGCATCCTGGGCACGTGCACGCTGGGCACGCACGGCGCGCACCGTGAGCACTGACCGCACCCTGGGCACGCAGAGGCCCCTCGAGACCTCCGGGCGGGCCCATGAGCTTGGCTGAGCCGCTCCATGTCCATCAGTCTCCCCGGAGACGAATGTCAGCAGAGGCTGTCCTGCAGGGGGACCCCAGGGGAACTTGGGTGTGGGTTTGGGGCTGACTCACGGGCTCTGTGTTCAGGGATCTCTCCTTGGAGGGCTCGGGGGACCGTATGGGCACCGCAGGTGGGAGACATGCCAGGCAAGTGGATTCCCGTTCTAGCTCTTGGGACCCTGGATCCACTGCATGTTTCGATTTGACCTTTTTAATCGCTTACATTTCTTTAGGGAGTTCAAATGAGCTCTGATCAATAAATGCCCCGCCTGGGAAACCAGTGTGTCTCATGTTCAAGTTCCTGGGAAGGCGATTCTCACTGGCCTCACCCCACCTCAGCCCCCCTGAGGGGTCCCCAAGTCTGGTCGCCCTGACAGTCTCGAGGCCAGGATCCACGTCACCCCTGGACAGGATTTGGCTCTCTGGGCTTGGGCACATCTGGAAATGCAGAGGAGACTCACGGGCAGACTGGCTGGGGGACCCCCAGGTGCAGGAAGTGCTACAGGGAGGTGAGAAGGGATCTTGTAGCACTTGGAGAGCCCCCTCTGGCACCCCACACACCATCCAGGACCCCCAGTTTTAGTGGAGAGAATACCAGTTACCTCTCGACTTATTTCCTGAGAGTTTTCCCTGATGCATAGCAGGGATCCACCAGCAAACAAGACTGGGGTCCTGCGTCTAGTTCCCACCTGATTTTCTGGTTTTTCTTTTTTTGGGGGGGTCACACCCGGCAATGCACAGGGGTTCCTCTGGGCTCTGCACTCAGAAATTATTCCTGGCGGTGCTCAGGAGACCATACGGGATGCTGGGAATTGAACCCGGGTCGACCGCGTGCAAGGCAAATGCCCTGCCCGCTGTGCTATCGATCCAGGCCCCCACCTGCTTTTCTCTTACCCTGGGGTGGGGGACTGGATTGACCCTGCCCCCTCTCTCAGGGTGCACACCCCACATCACCCTGTCCATAACTTTGGGAACAGAGCAATGGTATAGCAAGGTGGGCATTCGCCTTATACGCAGTCAACTGCTGGCATTCCATACGGTTTCAAGCACCGCAGGAGTGATTCCTGAGCACAGAGTAAGGAGCAAGCCCTGAACTGCTCGGGGCTTGCTCCTTACAGGGTGTTACTGGGTGTTACCCAAAACACACATACATAAAAAAGCAAGTTCTGTAACTTCACTTCTGCTTTGTGGGCACTGGGGCCCGATCTGACCCTGTCCACCGCTGCTGGCTTTGTGAGTGGCACCAGCCTGGCCCAGGGCTCCTTAATCCTTTTCCACCTGTGACACCTGAGAAATGCAGCCGGGCGAGCACTGCCGGAAACACTTTGGGACTCCTTGTCTGTCTGAGTTTGAATTTGGTTTTGGTCGTTGTTCCAGAAAAAGGTTTGAAAACCTTTCGCTGTTAAAATTTCACAAATTTTCACACGTGCCCACACTGAGTCCGCATGGGATTGCCACCCACAGTTGGAGAAGCTGAAATCTAGCTGCTCACCCGGGGGTAACAGCAGCCCCCACCTTTCCTGGGGTGGGAGAGATGCTTGGGGGTGAGCCCCGGCCCAGGGTCCATGTGGGAGACCCAGGTCCTATCCCCCGAGCTGCATGGGGGGTGATCCCTGGGTGCAGAGCCAGGAACAGCCCCCGAGCACAGTAGGTGCCAAACAAAACTATGACTAAGCACAAAACCCGAAGGGCAGAGGGTGCCTGGTACACAGTGGGGCCCATGAATGACAACCCTGCCTTGCCCTGCCCGGTTTCCAGAAGCTCTGTCTGTGAATACCGTGACCCAACCCTCACTCCTGCCAGCCCTCCCGTCTCACCTATAACCCGAGCCCCGTCTGCCAGTCCCACCATCCACCCCCATTCGCCCCCTGAGGTGGGAGTCCCAGAGACTCACCTGCTCCGAACCCTCCACGGAAGCCAGGAGAGGACACTGGGCAGTGTTGGCCCTTCCGACACCCTCCAAAGGACAGAAGCCAGGCAGGAGGCGGGAGCAGAGCTGAGCGGGCGGTGACAGCTGCTGCTTCTCGGGGGACGGGCCTGGCCCCCCGGAATCACACCCTGTTGCAGGCCTCATTAGCCCGCGGACCCACAGGACTGAGATGTCGGAGCCTGCCGGGCCCCTGGGCCCCAGAGACGGTCGGGGATGGGCCAGGACTTGATCTGGCGGCTGCTGTGTCTGCGTCTGTCTCTCCAGTCTAGAAAGGCTCGAGGAGGCTTGAGGATGGCAGGGCCGGGGTAGGGAGGAGACAGGTCCGGAGGAGGCTGAGAAAGCCCCGTTGAGGTGGACCCTACTAGCACAGTGGACACTGAGAGTGGACGGCTGGAGCACCAGGAAAACTAGTTGCTTTAAAGTTAATCTAATGGGTCCTTTTGGTTGGTTTTTGTGTTTTGGGCCACACCAGGTGATGCTCAAGTGTTACTTCTAGAGGTACTGAGGATGCTGGGGTTCTGGGTCAGCTGCTTACAAAGGCCAGTGCTCTGCCTGCTGTACCATCTCTGGCCCCTACTTAATCTCACCCCCCTGAGAGGTATCAAAGCAGGCAGGGAAGGACCCCCTATGGCAATGAATTCCTGAGAAGTAATAAAACCAACCAGTCCTAAGGTGGTTAAAAACCTACCTTGTGGACACAGGAATTAAGGCCTGATAAGATTCTTACAGGTCACCTGGGGACCCCACCAGAGTCGGCATCCAATAAAAAATAAATAGTCGTTTCAATACAACCATAAGTATTGCAAACCACAATACCAGTAAGGAGAGAGAGAGAGAGAGATGGAGAGAGAGAGAGGAGAGAGAGAGAGAGAGAGAGAGAGAGAGAGACCTACAGACAGATATACAGAGACAGGGACAGAGACAGACAGACAGACAGGGACAGAGACTGAGACAGAGAGAAGTACCTGCCATAGAGACAGGCGGGAGTAAGATGGAGAGGGAAACCCCAGGTCTTGGTGGCGGAAATGTACACTGGTGAAGGGACAGGTGTTGGAAGATCGGATGACCAAAACTCAATCGTGAACAACCTTGTGTGTCTCAGGGTGATTCGATTGAAAAAAACACAAATTAAGAAGTGTGGTGAGTGACCGTGGTAGCAAGAACTGTCTCCCCACCCCACCCCTTCCCTCTCCCTCACCTTCTCCCATGCGCCTGCACACATTGCTGTGACACTAAGGAAAGCCAGTGACGGGGCCTCTGGGGTACAGGGCGGTGAGCGCCAGCACAGGGACAGAGGTGACCGGGCCCGCATGCCCTGTGAGAAGCTGGGTTTCCTCCGACTCAGCTGAGGATTGCCTGGTGCCCGAATGATTCTCACACTCTGCTCTCAGCACCCTGCTGGTTGGACGTGCCGTGGAGGGTGGGCGCTGCTGGGCCCTGAGGAGACAGTTGTGCTGCCTGAGCAGGAGTGGGGCCAAACTCCCGAGCTACAAGGAGGAACTCAAGAAGTGTCCAGATCCTGGAGCTGGAGCAATAGCACAGCGGGGAGGGCGTTTGCCTTGCACGCGGCCGACCCGGGTTCGATTCCCAGCATCCCATAGAGTCCCCTGAGCACCGCCGGGGGTAATTCCTGAGTGCAGAGCCAGGAGTGACCCCTGTGCATCGCCGGGTGTGACCCAAAAAGAAAAAAAGAAAAGAAGTGTTCAGATCCAGATCACGTAACCCCAACACCGACTCTACGGCACCCAGCCCCACTCGACACACCCCGGCCGCCCCGCCAGGCACCCAGGCCCTGATGTCTCAGGCCGGGAATGACAGCAAGTTGACCTCAAGTGAGACGGCTCAGAGGCAGTTCTTAGGGGAAAGGGGCGTGGGCCGAGGGGGAAGGGTCCAGGCTGCTGGGGTGGGGCTCCGCACCGAGGGAGCCCCCTGTCCACTTCAGGGTGTCATGTCAGGCTCGGGGTGGGGTGGGGAGTGGGCTCAGCACTTCACAGCTGACCGGTGCCCATTAGAAACCAGCCCCAGGCTTCTCCCTTGCACTTAAAGCATTTATTAGTTTTCCTGGTTATATATCATTACAGGGGCTGGAGCGATAGCACCGCGGGTAGGGCGTTTGCCTTGCAAGCAGCCAACATAGATGACCCGAGTTTGATTCCTCTGCCCCTCTCGGAGAGCTTGGCAAGCTACCAAGAGTATCTCGCCCGCACGGCAGAGCCTGGCAAGCTCCCCGTGACGTATTCGATATGCCAAACACAGTAACAACAAGTCTCACGATGGAGACGTTACTAGGCCCACTCGAGCAAATCGATGAACAACGGGAGGACAGTGACAGTGATATCATTATAGAAGAACACACGTACATGTATAAAAAGTAAAATGAGGAGTCGAAAGAATAGCAGTACAGCAGGGAGGGCACTTGCCTTGCAGGCTGACTGACCAGGTTTGATGCCCTGAGCACTGTCAGGAGTGATCCCTGAGCACAGAGCCAGGAGTCAGCCCTGAGCTCTGCCAGGTGGGAACCACACACACACACACACACACACACAAAGTAAAACGACTCGTCCCATAATTTCCCCTGGATCTTGAGACCTGGGGCATTCGCCCTGAGCCGCCGTCCCAGAAGGCACCTTGCTGGGGCTCGGCCCTGCGCCCTGTTCATCCTGCACCTCCCTCAGGCCAGAGGAGCAGTTTCTTGCTTTCGGGTGTGGAGAGGGAGGTCTCCTGCCTCTCTGAGTCTTCTCTGACACTGTCTCCAGGGCAGTGGGACCAGAGCAGGAGCACGGCCAAGTCAGGGGCAGCAACCAGCTTTGGGCGGGGGCTGGGGGCCGGCCACCTCCACCAGGCCGCCCTTCAGACGGTCCTCCTGCACCTTGAGTGACCTGCAGGGCGGGGAGCCGGCGTCAGGAGCTGCCTGCGAGGGCTCTGAGCCTCCTCTCAGCTGTCCTCCGTGCACACGGCACCAGGCGGAGGGGCCCATGGCGTTCTGAGCCTGTTCTTTTCCCGGCATTGTTTGAGAGATATTCCGCTCGGTGCCGGAGCCTGAAGCCCAGCTCCCCCATACGAGGCACAGGCGCTGCCCACTGATCCTTACGACCCCGGGAGCCTGAGCGTCGCCCACTCCTGCTGGGTTCTGCGCCCCAGTACTGCAGAGCTGCAGACAGAGCTCAGCCCTGCCCTGGCGAGGTCTGAGCAGCCTCCCCAGCCAAGGAATTTGGGTAGAGACCTGCAGCCCAGGGGATATTTTCTGTAGAGGGTGTCCGGGTGGGAGCAAGTGTAAGTGCAGCGAGGTGGGGCTCGCTACCCTGACAGAGAAGGGGCTCGGACCAGGCCAGCCCAACCTCTAGCCGTCCACTCATTCTTCTGCTAGTTTTTGGGATGGGGCTATGCCTGGCTCCGTGCTCTCATGTGACTTCTAGGCAGAGGGGGGCCAAGTGCGGTACCAGGGAGTTGAACTAGGGTCCATGAGATGCAACACAAGCGCCTCTAATCTCCGTACTATTGCTCTGGCCCCCATTCAATCCTTTATTCTTCCTTCATTCATTCGGCCACCATGTGCCCTGCCTGGGGCCGGGTGTTGCGTAGGGGAGAACCTGAGCCAGTCCCAGGAGGCTGAGCTAGGAACACACAGAGGGCTGCGCAATTCTGTGATCACAGCTGCCCAGAGCGCCGTGGCAGGTGTGGTGGCTAGGGAGGGTCCTGAGTGTGCGCCGTGGATGTGTGTCTGGATGAGTCTGTGAGTGTCTATGTGTGTCTATGTGAATCTCTGTTGTGTCTATGTGTGTCTGTGAGTCTGTGAGTATCTCTGTGTGTGCCTGTGTGTCTCTGTGTGTGTGTCTGTGTGTCTCTATGTGTGTCTCTATGTGTGTCTGTGTGAGTCTGTGTGTGTCTGTGTGAATCTGTGTGTGTTTGTGTGTGTATCTATGTGTGTGTCTGAGTCTGTGTGCGTCTCTGTGTGTCTGTGTGAGTCTGTGTGTATCTATGTGTGTGTCTGAGTCTGTGAGTGTCTCTGTGTGTGTCTGTGAGTCTGTGTGTGTATCTATGTGTGTGTCTGAGTGTGTGTGTGTCTGTGTGAGTCTGTGTGTGTTTGTGTGTATCTATGTGTGTGTCTGAGTCTGTGAGTGTCTCTGTGTGTGTCTGCGAGTCTGTGTGTGTATCTATGTCTGTGTCTGAGTGTGTGTGTGTCTGTGTGAGTCTGTGTGTGTTTGTGTGTATCTATGTGTGTGTCTGAGTCTGTGAGTGTCTCTGTGTGTGTGTCTGCGAGTCTGTGTGTATATCTATGTGTGTGTCTGAGTGTGTGTGTCTGTGTGAATCTGTGTGTGTTTGTGTGTGTATCTATGTGTGTGTCTGAGTCTGTGAGTGTCTCTGTGTGTGTGTCTGCGAGTCTGTGTGTATATCTATGTGTGTGTCTGAGTGTGTGTGTCTGTGTGAGTCTGTGTGTGTTTGTGTGTGTATCTATGTGTGTGTCTGAATCTGTGTGTGTCTCTGTGTGCCTGTGTGAGTCTGTGTGTGTATCTATGTGTGTCTCTGAGTCTGTGAGTGTCTCTTTGTGTGTGTGTCTGTGTGTGTTTGTGTGTGTATCTATGTGTGTGTCTGAGTCTGTGTGTGTCTCTGTGTGTCTGTGTGAGTCTGTGTGTATCTATGTGTGTGTCTGAGTCTGTGAGTGTCTCTGTGTGTGTCTGTGAGTCTGTGTGTGTATCTATGTGTGTGTCTGAGTGTGTGTGTCTGTGTGAGTCTGTGTGTGTTTGTGTGTGTATCTATGTGTGTGTCTGAGTCTGTGTGTGTGTCTCTGTGTGTCTGTGTGAGTCTGTGTGTATCTATGTGTGTGTCTGAGTGTGTGTGTGTCTGTGTGTGTCTCTGTGTGTGAGTCTGTGTGTTTGTGTGTGTGTTTGTGTGTGAACTGGGATGTGGCACCAGGACAATGCAGAGCATTTATTTCAGGGGCTCTGGGTTTTCTTCTAAGCCTAGTGGAAGCCTCTAGGAGCGGGACTGTCTGTGCCCCCACGCGCCCCCAGGAGGAGTGGGGTGGGTAAGACTGGCGTGACTGAGTCGGGACGTATGTGGGACCTGCTTCCTGCCCAGAAACCCTCATGCTGGTGCCCTGGAGTTTTCTAGAAGGAGCTCCCAGGACTGCTGAGGCGTGGGCGGGGACGTGGGCACTCACCGTGCCAGGCTCACCACGGGCTCCAGGATGTTGTGGCCCAGGGTGGCACTGCACTCTCCGAAGGTGGCGCCCAGCTCCTGCGTCAGAGGGAGACTTGTGAGAGGGTGCTGGTCGGGCAGCCCGGGCACCACCCGGATCACTCCTGACCTTCAGAGTCCCCGGTGGGAGGAGGCTGAGCCTCGATCTGGGGAAACGTCCATGGGGATGTTCTACTGGGGGACGCTCCAGCGGTTTCCCCCAGGGAGTGGAGGAGTAGAATGCTGGGAACCCAGGACCACCTAAGACACACCCCGCCTCCTTTGAGGGCTTTTGTTTCCATCGGGGGCTATACCCAGAGGTGCTGGGAGTGGGGGCTACTGCAGGCTTAGTTCTCAGAGGGTTCACCCCTGGCGAGACTCAGGGGACTGTGCAGTGCCAGGGATGGAACCCAGCCTGAGCCCAGGGCTGGGCTCACTCCTATTGGGGCTCAGGGGACCATATGGGTGCTGGGAATTGAACCCGGATTGGCTGTGTCAAGGCAAACTCCCTGTTCTCTGTACTCTCTCTCCAGCCCAGCCCAAGGATATTTTAAAGAAGCAAATAAAATTTAGGGGCCGGAGAGATAGGATGGTGGGACTGGCTGGCATTAGCCTTGCATGAGGCTCAGTGGGATCAATCCCTGGTATCTCCATACGGTCCTCTGAGCTTGTCAGGAGTGATTCCTGAGCACAGAGCCAGGAGTAACCACTGAGCATTGCAGGATATGACTCAAAAATCTAAAGAAAAAAAAAGAAAGAAATTTGTTGATTATAATTGCATAAATGTTTATTGAGGGAATCACTGAAAACTATGGTCCAGTCTAAGTACAAACTAGGGACCCTGCCGCTAGCTTTCGGGTGTGGGCATCTGACCTCTTCAGACACTTCCATGGGAGGTGGGGCTGTTCTGGGTGACCTGGCCTGTCTCTGTTGGCAGCACCAGGGGATCACCCCAAGCTTTCCCAGATTCCCAGCTGCTCTCTGGACTGTCCCTGTGCTATGAGCATTTTGTCCACACCCTTAAATGTTGTTCCAGGCCATGGTGGCAATGCCTGTCTGTGGGAGGCAATGAACTCCCACCATTTAACGCCTCCAAATGTTCATTCTAGGAAGTAACACCTCAAAGGAAGTCCTAGAGATGCATTAGATTATCATGTGACGCGGGTCTCCCTTCCATCATTCTCTTTGGAGTTGTTTCTGTTTTTCTGTTTTTTGTTTTTTTTTTTCTTGTTTTTGTGTTTGTTTTGCTTTTTGAGTCACACGTGGCAATTCACAGGGGCTACTCCTGGCTTTGCACTCAGGAATCACTCCTGGCGGTGCTCAGGGGACCACATGGGATGCTGGGAATCGAACCTGGGTTGACCGCATGCAAGGCAAACGCCCTACTCCAGCCCCTGTAGTGGTTTTTATGGGTGCTTTTTTTTTATTTTGTTTTGAGGTCACACATGGCGATCACTCCTGGGGGCTTAGTGGACCGTAGGTGGCTCTGGGGGGTTGAGCTGGGGTCAGCTGAGTGCAAGACAGGGGCTCTGCTCCTGAGTCACATCCCTGGCCCCCGAGCTCTGCAGTTAAAAGGTGAGATTCACAGTTGAATCACACCGCAGGGAGTGAGGATTTGATGCCTAAGATGGAATGAATCAGGACTGTTCTGTGAGTCAGAGCCCAGACATAACGTGAAGCCTAGATTGGGGATTTTGGGAAGCCTTTAAGTCCTTTCACCCTGGAGGCCCAGTTCTTTACAGACCCGGGTCCGACCAAAATCGGCTGGGCCGTCAGTGTCTATGTGAACCTTCTGAGCAGCCCAGGTCAGGGGGACTGACTGACCACCCCCAGGGAGAGGTGTCCCGTCCAGGACCCGCCGCTCACCTGGGCCAGCTGCTGTCCCGCCTCCGTGGGCACCTGCCGAGCCTCCTCACAGTCCGTCTTGTTTCCCAGGAGAAGGATGGCCGCTCTGTCGCACCCAGCCTCCTGCACACAGAGCACCTCCCTCAGCCACACACGGCCCTGCCCGCAGCCTACCAGGCCTGGGGAGATTGGACCCTGCCAAGACTGAGCTGGGCCCCACACCACCATCACGCACCCACACTCACCAGGCACACACCCCACTCTGCCTGCAGATGTGTCACTTGCTTCTCAGAATGAACTGCGGAGGGAGCCTCCTCCAGGAAGCCTTCCTGGATTTGCTTCTACCTAAGCCTCTCTCTTCCTGCCTGTGCCAAGCAACCCCACGCTGGACTACACCGGCTGCCCTAGCTCATTTCCTTTGTTTCTCAGGTAATAATGAAGATCATCATAATGTTTTTACTTCTAATTATCATACATTCATATGGAATTAATATGGAAATAATAATGCATAAACTTATATAAACCGTATTGGTCACGGTCACAGTCACAGTCCTCCCATTGTTCATCGATTTGCTCGAGTGGGCCCAGTAACGTCTCCATTGGAGATTTTGTTGTTACTGTGTCTGGCATATTGAATACGTCACGGGGAGCTTGCCAGGCTCTGCCATGCGGGCAGATACTCTCGGTAGCTTGCCGGGATCTCCGAGAGGGGCGGAGGAATCGAACTCGTGTCGGCCATGTTGGCTGCGTGCAAGGCAAATGCCCTACCGCTGTGCTATCACTCCGCCCCATAGACCGTATAAATAGTAAAGGTAAAGGTAAAGGCCCTCCCGTTGATCGTCGATTTGCTCGAGCGGGCCCAGTAACGTCTCCATTGGAGACTTTGTTGTTACTGTGTCTGGCATATCGAATACTCTCGGTAGCTTGCCGGGCTCTCCGAGAGGGGCGAAGGAATCGAACTCGGGTTGGCCACGTTGGCCGCTTGTAAGGCGAACGCCCTACCCGCTGTGCTATCGCTCCAGTATAAATAGTATAAATGATAATATTTATAGTTCTTATTTCTGTGTACCAGGGGCTTACGATATGCCTGGGGCTGAGCTGGAAGCAGTTCCCTCTGCTAATTCTCACAGTGCCTCCCTGCAGGCTGCTGAGAAGTCGGTCAGAGAGAGCAAAGTCCTATGGGCAGGCGCCGGGCTGGAGAGGCAGAGCTGGGACTCAGACCCAGGTGCTGCCCGCCCCTAGCCCAGCTCTGCCTCCAGGACCCTACCCTGCTCCTTGCTGCATCTCTCCGTCCAGATTAGAGCCTTCTAGAAAGGCAGTTCTGGTCTCCCTTCACAGCCCTGCGGGTGCTGCAGTGTGGAAGCTCAGTCCCAGCATGCCATGTGGGGGCGCAGGGTCTGGGACTGCCTCGTCCCCCGGCTGTGAAGCCCGACAGCAGCCGCGGAGCGGGGAAGAGGCGACCACCAGACGGAGGAGGGACACAGCCCGGGAGGGAGCACTGTGAGACTCCACCCCGGCCACCCCCCTGTGTCCTTTGCGATCCCGGGAGGAAAGGGGAAGAGGGCGCACCCCCCGGGGCTGACCTGCAGGCAGCTGAGCCAGGAGCGCACGTGGGCGAAGCTGTCCCACGAGGTGATGTCGTACATGAGTACTGCCGCGTCGGCCTTGCGGAGCAGGTGGTGTGCCACGCTGTGGTACCTGCCCGGGGCAGCATGAGGCGGGGCTGGGACGGGCCTGGCCCATTCTCAGTGGCTTCCTGGACGCATGCTTCCTGCTACAGCACCCTGGGGGGGTCGGTGCTGGGAGCTGGGGGGCTTTCTGAACCCGAGTGGCACCTTTCCTGCAGACCCACCATGGACCGCTGGGCCGGTGGGCTTCTACGCCCGTGGACGGTCCAGGCTAGGTCCCTGGTCACTGGGACGTATGTGGGCATAGCAGGAGGATGAGTATCCACAAGGGGCGCGGGCGGGGGAGCCCCGGGAGTCTGGAGGGGGACCTGAGCAGTGGGCACACTGTCCCCAGCAGCTGGGGGCCCGTCACCCCCTCTGGAGCTGACTGTCCTCCACACCGTCTGGCCTTTGGGGAGGCGGCCAGTCCTCTTTGGCACTCAGCGTCTCCTGCCTGCTCTGACTCTAGGTGGGCTGCCCCACCTGGACCCCTGCTGCTCCCCCGAGGTCCCCGAGGTGGCTCAGGCAGGGCCCGTTACCTCTCCTGGCCGGCCGTGTCCCAGAGCTGCAGTGCGAAGGTCTCATTGTCCACCAGCACGGTCTTGACCCGGAAGTCGACTCCTAGACACATGCAGGGGTTAGGCCCGCTTTCAAGGGGACCCTGCTAAGGCGAGAAGGAGCCCGCTCTCACTGGGCACCTGGGGGGCCCTGGCTCCAATTCCTGGCACCACATGGACCCCTGGGCACTGTCATGTGTGGCCCCCAGACAAAAGAACAAGATAAAGATAGAATTAATGGTGATAATCCGAATGACTTCCTTTCAGTCTGGGAGATAGTGGTTAGTGCTCTTGCGGCCTGGCACCAGCTCTCGTTCCGCCCTGGCACCACTCAAGGTGCCCCCAGCACTGCCAGAGGAGGAGAGACCCGAGCATGGACAGCTGTGACCCAAACCTCCTTCCCTTCCAAAACAAATGCTCCTGAAGCCCTCTGAAAGCATCCCTGGGGGTGCTGGAGCAATAGCACAGTGGGTAAAGCGTTTGCCTGGCACGCGGCCGACCCTGGTTCGATTCCCAGCATCCCATAGGGTCCCCCAAGCACTGCCAGGAATAACTCCTGAGTGCAGAGCCAGAAGTAACCCCTGTGCATCGCCGGGTGTGACCCAAGAAAGCAAAAAAAAAAAAAAAAAAAAAAAGAAAAGAAAAGAAAGCATCCCTCCCTGGGCTGAGCCCAGACATGACCCCTGAGGTACCCCAACCATGGGTCATTTGAAACCGTCCCTGCGAGGAGGAGTGAGCTGCTTGAGCCTGCTCACGCCCTGAGAGCCAGCAGCCTTCCTGCCCACCCTCTCTCCTGAAGCCACAGAGTCCTCACAGGCCCCAGGCCAGCTCAGGACCGGGCTTCTCATCTGAGTCCTGAGCTAGGGACTCAGTGGGGACCCCCATGACTCTCCTGCTGCCCCAGTGTAGGAGGCAGAAACTCAGCACAGCGTGGGGGCTTTCGGGACCCTCTGAGGGCTTCTCACCCAGCCAATCCCAGGGCTCACACTCAGCCTCTGAGGAGACTCAGAGCCCCTGGCGAAGCCCAGCAAGTACCCCTGGGTGTTCTCACACCCCACTCCGCCACGACTCCCCCTTTCCCTCCCCTCCTTAACCCACCACCCACCCACAGCCAGGCAGCCTGCTGGGAAAATCACCCGCCTCTGTCCTGAGTCTGTGATTTTGCCTAAGCAGCCTCAGGAAGGGGGCGATGCTGAGCCCCCCAGGAGGCGAGACTGTGGGGCTGTGGGGAGCTTAGGCCTGTTTGTGAGTGCGGGGGGGCGGCGAGGGCCAGCCAGTCCAAGAAACTGGATCCAGGGGCTGGAGTGATAGCACAGCAAGTAGGGTGTTTGCCTTGCACGCGGCCGACCCAGGTTCGATTCCCAGCATCCCATACGGTCCCCAGAGAACCTCCAGGAGTAATTCCTGAGCGCAGAGCCAGGAGTAACCCCTGAGCATCGCTGGGTGTGACCCAAAAAGCAAAAAGCAAAAAAAACAAACAAAAAAGAAACTGGATCCAGTCATCACATCTTCTTCGCAATGGGAAGAGAAATGGAAAAGTCACACCAAATGCATCCAAGAGAATCCCCACTCTGCTCTGCTCGTCCCCCGCCCCAGACCCTCCACCTCTATGGGAGAGGGCTGGGGGGTGGGCGGCCACAGTGAGTCATGCCAGATGGATGACAGCCAGCACGGGGCAGCGAGCTGAGCTGGACCAGACCTTGAGCCTCGCTGGCCTGCAGAGCCCAGGCTTGCTTTGTTGATGGGCACATTATAAGCTAATCTCTTCTGTGGAGACTTTCTGCCATGTGCTGACGCTCAGGGATGGACAATAAGGCGTAGCCTTCAACGTCAGTACAACATTGGTACAAATGACCATTATCCCTAGCAAGGAAGAAATGGCAGTTATGGTCCGGAATCAAGTTTTCATCATATGCAGGAAGGCTGCATTCTCTCTCGCCCGACAGGGGAAGGACAGGCCTGTGGGAAGTCTGCCTCCCTGTAGGTGATTGGTTAGTGATGGCTTTACAGGTCCTGTGGCCCTGGTGACATCAGGCCAGGCCTGCCATAGGATGGGGTCCCCCCCTTCTGAAGATCCTGTATCTGGGGGAGCACACCCAGCAGTGCTCAGGGCTTACTCCTGGCTCTGTGCTCAGGGCTCACTGTTGTAATAATAACAATGAAAACATCACAAGTCTTTCCTGAGAACTTGTCCCGTGAGCTTGGTGCCAGCTAACCCAGGACGGGCGGAACCCAGGTCTGGGAGGTGCAAGGCAAGCTGTATAAACTCTCTGGGCCCCCCCTTCACTTTTTTTTGTTTTTGTGTTTTGTTTTGTTTTCTTTGTTTTGGGGACCACATCTGATGATGCTCAGGGTTTACCCCTGACTCTGCACTCAGGGGTCACTCCTGGGGGAACTCAGGGGACCACATGGGATGCCAGGGATGGAACCTGGGTCTGACACATGCAAGACAAGTGCATCCTCCCCACTGTTCTATCACTCCAGTGCCTGAAGCCCCTGCATTTCTAAAAGCTCTGCCAGTGTGCGTGGGTTCTCGGGCAGAGGACATTTGGGGAAGTCACTGCAGGGGGGGTCTTGGAGGAGAACTGCCCCTCACTCCTCGTTAGCATGCACCCTGGAGAGCCCCAGACAGACCCCCCCCACACACACACACACACTGTCTGCTTCCCTCGACAGGTTTCGCCTCCTCCCACGAGCATGCTGTTTCTGGTGCCCTGTCTCCTTAGGGAGAGGAGCATGGCTTGGGCTCAGGTCATTTGCAGCCCTAACTCTGGCATTAATGAACCGGCGCCCGTAATAGTGATGAGAGCCACCAGCACAGGGGTTCCTGGAGCTCACGCGGGAGCTTGGTGCCAGTCACTGTCCCCGGCCGCCGGGACCACCGGGCTCCGCGGGGTGAGGGAGGCTGCCCACCTTCATCCCGCTAGTGAGCGGCAGCTCTGGGACCCGAACCCAGTTCCCTGCACGTCTAACTTCCCACAAGCTGCCAGAGACCTCTAGAGCATACGCCCGAGGCAGCGTCCTGCCGCTTGGGGCTGGTCCCACGAGTCTGGCCTGCAGGGGCCCTGCCAGGGCCTGCCCGGGGCCACGCGGTGGAGACTGGAGTGTTTCATCATCAAACAGCTCTGGTACCTAAATTGCAGGGTGCTTTGTTGATGGGCACATTATAAGCTAATCAGATCAACGCAGAAAAAGCAAATTACCTGTAATTAGGGATAATTAGTCAAATAGGAAGATTATGCCCATATAAAATAATGGCGAACGCGGGGGCCCAGGGCCAGGGCAGAGCTGTCGCTTGCTTGTTCGGGGTGGCTGGCGCCGGGCCTGCCTGGGCCTGTGTCCCCGCGCCCTCTCCCGGCCCCTTACCCACGGTGGCTGTCAGCCCGGAGGGGATGCGATCGTGATGCAGCAGGTGCAGGAAGGAAGTCTTGCCGACGCTCGAGTCTCCCAGGAAGACGACATGGAAGACGTGGTCGGGGTCAGTCCCCGGGGTGGCCCCTGTGGATGGCTTCTGCCCCGTCTGCCCCACGGAGCCCGTCGTCCCGGGGTCTTCCGGCTTGGACTCCGGGGGACGTCTGTCTCCCTCGGTGCCAGCAGCTATGCGTGCGGGCCCGGGCAGGGCTCTTGTCTCGGCAACAGCAGGGAGCCTGGGGGTCAGCTCCTGGGACCGAGCGCCTTGGGGGACAGCAGGGCCTTCCACCTCTGCCCGAGCAGGGGGTCTGCCGGAGGGGAGGGGAACAGGCTGGGGGGATTCTGTGCCCCCCATGTCCAGGCCCTGCGGGGGGCTGAGGCGCTGTCCCTGTGGGGCTGCCCCCTCTCTCTCTAGCCCCTGCCTGGGAGTCTGGCCACAGGGGTCTGTCTGCTCCCCTGAGGGGTCCTCCTGACCCCCGGGACTGACCAGCTCCAGCCCCAGGCCCCCGGGGAGGTCCAGGGATTGCCCAGCCAGCTTTGGGGTGAGCGCTGCAGGCTCTGGGTGTGGGTGCAGGGGGACCACCTCTCTCGGCGGGGAGGGGTCCCTGTCATCCGGGGGTGAGGCCGGGCTCAGGGCCGGGGGTGCCTCCCTATCATCCTGGGGTCTGGCATCGGGCGCCAGGAGCCCCGACTCCTCTGTGGGGGCCCCCGGGAGCCTTGGGCTGGGCCGCGGCTCCCCCTCCTGCCCAGGGGAGCCCTTTTCTTCCCCTCCCTGGGCCTGGGAAGTCCCCCCAGGGGGCTCTGACGGTGGGCCCTGGGTGCAGGGCAGAGCCTGGGCCTCGGAAATGGAGATCTGCCTGACCACGCGGGGCGCGGAGGGGCTGGCAGGGCTCGGGGGTGGGCTCCAGCAGATCTGCAGGGCTCCTTCGGGGGCACTGAAGCTGCCCAGGAGCTGCTCCCAGTCCTCGTTGTCCCCAAACACCCCGGGCAAGGGTGCCTCCACAGGGGACACCTCCTGAGGGGTTGCGGCCTGTCGCTCGCCTGCTCCAGGGTCCCTGCAAAGAGCATGGGGGTGGGGGAGGGAGGTGGCGGTGGGGACACACCCTAGTGGACTCAGGCAGTCCCACCTGGCCAGCCAAATGCTCACGGAAGCCTGCCCGTGCTCCAAAGCCTCTGTGAGCCTCACCTCCTCCAGGAAGCCTTCCTATACCCACTGGCCCATCCCACTCCTCTGAGGCACCACCAAGGTCTTTTTTTTTTTTTTTTTTTTTGCTTTTTGCTTTTTGGGTCACACCCGGCGATGCACAGGGGTTACTCCTGGCTCTGCACTCAGGAATTACCCCTGGCGGTGCTCAGGGGACCCCATTTGGGATGCTGGGAATCGAACCCGTGTCAACCGCATGCAAGGCAAGCGCCCTACCTGCTGTGCTCTCGCTCCAGCCCCCGGCACCCCCTAGATCTTGAGGGGAGACATTCCCCACTCGGGGCCTCAGTTTCCTAGTCTGGAGGAATGGGCATATGAACCCTGATCCTGGCAGTGTGGTTTTGAGGAAAGAGGGAGACCCTCTGTACTGGATGCTGACCCTGCAGGAGCCCCCAGACTCCCTGTCCCCCAGGAGCCCCGAGACTCCTCCTCCCCCGGGAGCCCCGTTCCCCACGCCCCGCTTGGAGCTGGCAGCCTCTTGCCTCTGTTTCTCCTCCATCTGCCAGGACACATGGCCCCTGGAGGTGGTCAGTTGCCTCCTGGTCACCTGCAGCTGCCCCTGCACCTCTTCCAGATGCCTGGCCAGGTCACGCTCGGCCTCCTGGAGCTGCCGCTGCTCGGAGCTGGCCTGCTGCTGAGAGGCGCTGAGCTGCTGCATCCGGGCCTCCAGCTGTAAGGGGTGTGCAGAGGCCTGAGGCCTGAGGCCTGAGGCGAGCACCCACGGGGGCTAAGGGGGGTCGGGGGCTCCGCGGGGGACAGAGGAGGGTCGGGCCCCGTATGCCGAGTGTCCGGTGCGGGGGGTGTGGCATTTGGGGGAGCAGACGCCCCAGGACCTGAGGATTCCGAGCCCCCACCCCCAGGGTGCTCTCACAGGGTGCTCTCACAGGGTGCTCACCATGGGCAGTGCCGAGCAGGCCGGGTTCCCGGAGTCCCACTCCCTGCCCAGGTCTCCCACCACGCACTCCCCCCGGGCCTGGCACTGCGGCCCCTCCGCCCCCCCCCCCCCCCGGTCATCGCCGACTCTGGTCATTGTCCCAGTTCCCCTTGGTCAGACCCCAATCGCTGGCCTCACCCAGCCACTGCCTCCCGAGGCACGAGCTCACCCTCCTTTGCACGAGAGAGAAACCGAGGCCGAGGGTATGGGAGACCAGCCCAGGAGGACGTGGGTGCCGTCGGCGAGGTTCCAGCCCCCCCACATCTGCTGGGCCCAGAGTCCCCAACCGCAAGTGGTTCCCCTTTTCTGACCTCACGGGACCCCTGCAGGTGGGGAGGTACAAGGGAGGCCGAACCTGCCCCACGGAGGAGACAGGGAGCAGGAAGAGCAGAGTCCTGGCCTGGGACCCAGGAGAAGCGTAGCCTCCCCCCCCAAACACACACACTCACACCACATGCACACACCCACACACTCACACATAACCTTTACACTCACAAAGACACATTCACTCACAGTCTCACACACATGCTCACACGCACACACTTCTCACACGCTCACACAAACATACACTCACACAACTCACATGATCACATACACACACACACTCACGGACATTCACACACACTCTCACACACATTCTCTCCCACACATGCACTCACATACACATATTCTCTCCCACACATATGCTCACACACACTCACACTCTCACATACACACATATCCTCCCACACACACACTCACACACGCCCACACACACACACTCCGCCCCATCTCAGAGACCGAGGTGTCCTCCGCTTTCCAAGTGCCGCTCACAGGGTCCGCCCTGTGCCCGGGCCGCAGCCTGACTCGGGGGAGGGGTCAGCGTCCTCGGAGGGGCTCCTGGCGGGGTCACGCACCTCTCTCTGGGCCTCGGCCAGCCGCTGCGTCTCACGCTCCTTGGCCTCCAGGGCGGCCTGCATCTGGGAGCTGAGGGCCAAGTCCCGGGACTCGCTCTGGGGGACAGAGAGGTCTCAACCCCGGACTCTGAGAGTCATGTCCCCTCCCCGGGGAGGGGGCTCTAGGGGCAGCTCCTCTTGGGCCCCCCAGTCAGATTCCCCGACTGGGAGGAAGGGATCGCCCAGATGATTTGGGGCACGGGACGGGGTCACTTCCTGTGGGTGCCCTCAAGGCAGGTGGATTTCCCAGGGGCCGATGAGTGGGTTGGTTGGTTGGTTGGTTTGTTTGTTTTCTGAAAAGGGGCATCAGAGCAAACAAGCCTGGCCTAGACTGTGGCACTAGGGGCTGAGGCCCAGGGGGCGGAGTTCGGGTGGGGGCAGGGGCTGCTGTCCTCTCCGAGCAAGGTGTCAGGTGGGAGCCACGAGACACTGTCCCAGGCCTCTGCCCTCACACAGGGCTGGCTGGCAGAGACGACAGAGAGGGTTGGACCCACGGACGTGGGTTTCGAGTGTAGGGCGGGCTGGTACATGTGGGGCACCGATGCAGGCATAGGGTGGGGTGCAGGGGGCAGGCGCAGAGGGGTGTGTGTGTGTGTGTGTGTGTGTGTGTGGTGCAGGGGGTGGGCGCAGAGGGGCGTGGGGGCATGTGTGGTGCAGGGTGCGGGCGGGTGCAGAGGGCGTGTGGGCGTGTGTGTGTGTGTGTGTGTGTGGTGTGTGGGGGGGGTGCAGGGGGTGGGTGCAGAGGGGCGTGGGGGCAGGTCCATGGGTCCCACCTTGGCCTGCAGCTGCTGTTTCTCCTGGTGGAGCTGCTGTTCCATCTCCTCGTAGAGCTGCTGCACCTTGCGGTGATGGTCCGAGTCACACCTGGTAAGGGGGAGGCGGGACCCCCAAGTCCCTCAGCACCTCAGAGTGGGAATTGTCACATCTGTCATTCTAACTCACTCACGTTTACCTCTGGCCTCCCAGGACCCCCTCGCTGACTCAGAACCATCCCCAGGGTGACGCTGGTTCTCCAGGTCCTGGCACTCGGCCCCGTTCCTCTCTCTGCCTCCTGCCCCAGGGCCCAGAGACGCTGCCATCTGCACTCTGGGCTGTGGCAGCCACCATGGTCCAGCTCCCGATGCCCAGCCCCGCCCCCCCAAGGGCCCCCAAGTCTCCCCGTGGCTCGTCTTGCACGGGGGTCTCAGCTCTGGCCTGCAGGGTACAGAGGATCCTCTCAGAGTTCTCTGGGATGCACTGAGCTCGGCCACGGGCGGGATGCGGGGGGTCCCGGCCCCACTCACTTCCTCAGGGCCAGCTCCAGAACCTCCTTGTCATCCCGAGCCTCCTGCAGGCGGCTGTTCATGGTGGCCAGGAAGCCCTCCAGGTTGCCGGCCAGCGGGGCCTCCTCCTGCCTTAGTTTCTGCCAGAGCGGCCACACCTCGGCCTCGCTGGGGATTGAGGGAATGCCAGCGATCAGACGCGAGGCGGGACCAGGAAGGGTGGGGTGGGGGGTGTCCCACTCTGTGGTCTTCATCGTGACGCTCCAAGAGCAGGGCGCCCTCTGCAAGGCGCGACTCAAACGCCACTTCCTCTGGAAAGTCTTCCTGGCATGCCCTCTCCTTCCTTGAACCCCAGCCACCTCCCCATCCCTGCCACCCAGCCAGCCCGGACCCTCATCCCACCGGCTGGTCCCGCAGCACAGGGCCCTGCCCAGGGCACGCATGGCCCCGTGGGGTGGGTGGCCCATTCCGAGCTGGCCAGAGTAGACCGGGCGAGGCCTGGAGTGTCAGAGGGACATTGGGGGTTGGGGGGGTACCATGAGCCTAGAACCAGGTGCCTGGAGCCTCAACTGGGGCCGTGCTGCTCCCCAGGACTGTTGCTGCTGAGCCCGGCTCTTCGGACATACCGGCTTGCTAAGCCGTGGGCAGCTGGGGTGGGGGGATGACCTGGCAGGCAAGCCCCCTCCCCTGGGGACCTCAGGACACCCTGTGCTGCAGCCAGCGAGGTCCGAGGTCAGCCACCAACAGCTGGCCATAGTTTGCTCAGATCTACTGGGACGCCCCCACCGCGCCCACCGCTGCCTGCAGGCCTCCCCACACGCCCCAGACACACGTGGTGCTGGTCTTACTCGGGAAACGAGGTGCCGGTGCCCCACTGCTCCATGAACGCAGAGAACATCTCCTTCTGGGCGTCAGCCTCCTCAGGCCCCGGGCCATGGGGCAGGGGCACCCGGGTCCTCCGTCTGTGGAGCCCTGGGGAGCTCTCGAGGGAGCCAAGGATGCTCTCTGCAGGACGGGGGGAGGGGCGTGGGTGACTCCCTGCAGCTAGCCTGCTGGCCACCTCACCGGCCTCGGGAGCCCCCCCGGCAGCAGTCTTGGGCCTTGGGGACCTCGTACTGCCCGTGATACGGAAACCGCAGCACCTCCCAAGGCCGGTGAAGAGCCTTCGCTCAGTCACTGAGGAAATATTGAGTGAGAGTCAGAGATACATTTGAGGGTCAGAGATACCCAATGAAGGCCAGGGAGATAGTGTGGGTAGGGAAATACTTAATGACGGGTGGTATTTAGTGAGGGGAGCTATTTTGTGGGGGTCAGAGATACTTCTGTGGGTCAGAGATATTTAGTAAGGGGCAGAGATACTTAGTGAGGGTTGGGGAGATATTCAGTGAGAGGTAGAGGTATTCGGCAAGGGTCAGAGTGAGGGTTAGGGAAATATTTCATAAGAGTCAGAGATATTTATGAGGGTCAGAGATATTTAATGAGAGTCAGAGATATTTAGTGAGGGGGTGTCAGGGGGCACCTGAGGAGGTGTGATAAGAGCCTAGATGAAAGCAACGAGAAGGGCCTCTGTTGGTTTGAGAAGCTCATTCCAGACAAAGAGCAGCGCATGCAAAGGCCCTGAGGTCAGACCAGGTAGGGGGCTCTCAGGCTGGCAGAGTTTGGAGGAAAAGGGTTTGGCGTGTGTGTCCCACAGGCAGTGGTGTGGACCCAGGCTCAAAGGTGGCCTCTGGGCTGTGCTGACAGCAGGCTCCTTCTGCCCTCCACCACCACCAGTCGCTGTTTGAGGCCCCGACTCCTGTCCACTTATCCTAAGGCCAGAGCTGCCTCCTGGGAGGGCCCCAAACATGCCCGGGGCTCCCTGGCCTCCCGCTCTGTCGTCACCCGAACTTGGAGAAGCTCATCGGGCTTGGAGATGTCTCTGAGTGGGACTCTGATAAAGCACCCGGGTGAGAGGTGGTTCCGTGGCCCCTGGGTCTGCCCTGTCGCTGGGACTTGGACCCCACCACTACCCACCACACACAATTAAATAGATGCCTCTGCTGCTCCCCAGGGCCTGCAGAAACAAGGCCAGAGCACTCCAGAATGAGAGAGCCGGGCAGTGCCCAGGGAAAGCTCAGAGCAAAGCTCGCGAGCATGGGGCTGAGTTTGATTCCAGTGCAGGCCTCAGCCTGAGGCCAACCCAGCAGCTCTGCTGCTTGGGGTCTTGGCACAACAGCTAAGTGTGTGACCGCCCACTCCCAGCCCACCAATGAACAGAGGAAGCAGAGGAACAGGAATGAAGAGAGAGAGAAGGAAGAAAGGAGAGAGAGAAAGAGAGAGAGAGAGAGAGAGAGAGAGAGAGAGAGAGAGAGAGAGAAGAGGAAAGGGAGAAAGAAAATGTTTAACCCCAAATAATATTTAATGCATGAATGGCATGAATTGTGATTATTACTATTGTTGTGCTTGGGTCACTCCTGGCTCTGTGCTCCGGGGTCTCTCTGGCAGGGCTCGGGGACCCTGTGGTGTGCCTGGCACAGGGCCTGGTTGGCTGCAGCAGGCAGGCTCGCGCCCTCCCTGCAGTGCTCTCTTTTCGGTCTGACATGATTACTTTTTTTCCCCCTGCTTTTTGGGTCACACCTGGCAATGCACAGGGGTTTATCCTGGCTCTGCGCTCAGGAATTACTCCTGGCGGTGCTCAGGGGACCCTACGGGATGCTGGGAATCGAATCCGGGTCGGCCACATGAAAGGCGAACGCCCTACCCGCTCTGCTTTCGCTCCAGCCCCAGACGTGGTTACTTTTTTACAAAAGGAAAGAAGGGGGCTTAACCTCTCACTCAAGAGAAACTATTCTTGTCGGGGAGAAGACAAAGTTAAGCATCAGAAAGTAAAGTGAGGCTGATCCGGAGTTGGAGACTCCCAGCACCAAGCTGCTCTGGCTGGTAGGGGGCAACAGGGTAGGCTGGGCTGGAGCCCCCAGCCCTGCCTCCACCTGCTGCTGAGGGGTCACTGAAGCCTTCTGGCCGCCCTGCCTCGGCCCCGGCCCTGCCCCGGCCCCCCCCCCCCCCGTCCCGCCCTGTTTCCCCTCCCCCCTGCATACCCAGCCCGGAGCTGAACTCATCCAGGGAGAGGCGTCCCTGCTGCTCCGTGTCCACCCAGTCGAAGATCCTCTCAGGCGCCTCCTCGCTGCCCAGGAAGCTGAACTTGGCCACCTGCAGGGAAGTCAAGGACTTGCTTGTCTTCCCACTGCGGGAGGCGGTGGCCTGCTTCACCCTGATACCCTCTCAGAACCTGCCCCCTCTGCTCCCAGTCTAGTGCCCCCTTGCTCCAGCCCCAGGAGGAGAGCAGCGCCCCTCCCAGAATGTGCTGGAACCCGCATCCCTGCAGCAGAGCACACGTCCCTGCAGCCCAGGAGGGAACTAACTAACCCCCAGACTGGGTGAAGTTGGAGGCTAACTTGCAAGTTTTGTCCAGGAGAGAAACTAGTCATTTTTGTCTGCTGGAAGGAATAACCCCCAAAGACCTATGGCCAGCCGGGGACTGGACAGTTAGTGCAGGAGTTAAGGCACTTGCGTTCAACTCAGCCGACCCCACTTTCACCCGAGCACAGAGTCAGGAGTAAGCCCCGAGCTCTTCAGGTGTGGTCCGAAAAACAAAACCAACAAACAGAAAGAGTCTTATGCTCCCTGGGAAGAACAGCTCCTTGGGATGCGGGCTGACTGACTTCACATTTCTGTTCTTGTTTCTGACTGCGGCTGGAAGCGGCTGAGTCCAGGCTGATGCTCAGGAACGGCCTTTAAGGCTGATTCTGCGTAGGACCACACCCAGCGGCCATCAAGCGCTCGTGCCTGGGAGTCATATTCGGCCATGCTTGGGAGTGTGTGGTGCTGGGGGCTGGACACAGACCTTCTGCCTGCAAAGCATGTTATCTCTGCAACTTGAGGCCTTTACTTATTTTTTTTTTTTAGCTTTTTTGGGTCACACCTGGCGATGCACAGAGGTTACTCCTGGCTCTGCACTCAGGAATCACTCCTGGCGGTGCTCAGGGGACCACATGGGATGCTGGGAATCAAACCCGGATGGACCGCGTGCAAGGCAAACGCCCTACCCGCTGTGCTATCGCTCCAGCCCCGAGGCCTTTACTGCTTGCTGTGTATGTGTCTTCACAAAAGACAGAAGGGGCTGGGAGGCGACTGGCCATGAAGAACATAGCTTGCAGATAGGTGACATCCTGGGTTAAATTCCTGTCCCTGACGGGAAAAGGTAAAGGCGCCAGAGGAACAGTCCAGTGACTGAGAGCACCTGCATTACAGCCTCACAAGCATGTGGTCTTGAGTTCAAATCCCTGATGTCCCACATGCACAGAGCATGTTGCTGACAGCTCTGCTGTTTGTCTCTCGCAGTCCTGCTATGTGCGATTCCCGGCCCCACAGTCAATGTCAGGTGTGTGTGAGCAGCGCTCACAGGATGTGAACACTTCGAACATGCACAGGAGCCAAGGCCTGTGAGCGCGTGAGTGAGCACCACAGTGACATCCAGCAAGCACCCTCAGATTCCGCAGCCACGAGCACACACCCTGGAGAGCCCTGTGCAAGCCCGAGACTGAAGAATGCAACCCTCAGTGAGCCCTGCAGCCGAGTGAGGAGCAACCCCATGAGCACTGCCACAGGTGAGTGTGCAAACACACACTCACACACTCACATTCATACACACTCGCGCTCATACACACTTACAAGCACTCATATGCACTCACACCCACACCCATGTTCACACACACTCTCACGCACTCACACATACTCACATACACACACTAGCACTCACACACTCAAATAAACACACACTCATACTCACATATTCAGACTCACAGTCATACACACTCACACACTTTCACATATTCACACTCATTCACTCACACTCACAGACACTCTTACACATACACACTTACACACACTCACACGTACACACACTCACACACTCACACAATCACACTCACACACATACCCACACTCACTCATATATACTCACACACATTCACACACACGTACCCACTCTCACTCACACATACTCACACTCACACACACTAGCACTCACACACTCAAATAAACACACACTCATACTCACATATTCAGACTCACAGTCATACACACTCACACACTTTCACATATTCACACTCATTCACTCACACTCACAGACACTCTTACACATACACACTTATACACACTCACACATACACACACTCACACGTACACACATTCACACGTACACACACTCACACACTCTCATACACTCACACAATCACACTCACACACATACCCACACTCACTCATATATACTCACACACATTCACACTCACACTCATACACACACTCACACGCATACACTCACGCACACTCACATAAACTCATACATACACACTCGCACGCACACACACAGTCATCACAGCCACAATAGCAACGGCGGTGGTAGGGGGACGACACAAATTTAAATTAGCATTTTTTAAGTGGCAGAAATGGAGGGCAGAGACAGAGGAGAGTGGGCAGGGCACTTGCCTTGCTCGGAGCCAACTCAGATTTGACCTGGAAACCCCAGATGGTTCCCAGAGAAATGACCCCTGAGCACAGGGTCGGGAGTAAGTCTTGAGCACTGCTGGGTGTGGCCCAAATACCAAAAGGGTTAATTATGTGAAGTTTATTTATACTTTATCAAACGCTTTAGAAGAGTTGTCCGAGAGCTTCTGTTAGTGTAGAAGGTTGTGTTGTGTGCATGTGTTAGCTTTCCGGCCTCTTAGTGCTTGGAGAAGCTCTCCGTCATTCATGCCCAGTCGTTCTTCCAATGGTACAGAGGTTAACCACTCTGGTTATAAGCTTTTGTTTTGTTTTTTAGCTTTTTGGGTCACACCCAGCGATGCTCAGGGGTCATTCCTGGCTCTGCACTCAGGAATCACTCCTGGCAGTGCTTGGGGGACCATATGGGATGCCGGGGGATTGAACCCAGGTCGGCCGCATGCAAGGCAAACGCCCTACCTGCTGTGCTATCGCTCCGGCCCCTCTGGTTATAAGTTCTACAGATACCTGAGACTACACTAGGAGCAACAGTGACAGAAATACAGCCAGAAATGGGGTGTTTCTGCTTTCCAAAGGGTGGCGGGGTGACTATGTCTTAACTTGCCTGACTGTTCCAAGACATATAAAGGACAAAAAGGCAACCTCTGCATGGATTCAGAGAGCTGCAGAGAACTTAATGAAAGGAAAACGTAGTTGAATTGATTCATAATGATACCCAAGTCTGAAAATCAACTGTAAAATATGGCAACATTTTGCCAAATGTTGGTTCTGTTTCAGTGGGCTAGGAAGCATCTGTGAAATTTCTACCACCACATGATATTAACGCAAAACTAGATTTGGGCTCCATATCTACCTGAATAACGAGTTGGTCTTTGAAAGCCCAGCAAGAGTTAAAAAGAGGTTCCTGTTGATATTCCGTGTGACTTGCCAAGATAACAGTGTCATAACTCAAGTGAATCATTTCCGCTGCTTCACGTTAACCTGATAGAGTTCTAAGTAAAACAAGAACAAAGCCTCTCTCTTAGGCAGGAACTAAGAATCCTGGTGATCCTGCTACCTTTCATGCTTCCAAAAGCTTTATTTTATCGTCACTTAAATAGGAAATAGGAAACTATGTCTCAGACTCCCACCATCCTATGTCAGGGCTTTTCTGACAGCTGCTGTGTCTGTGTGGGTGCATATTTGTGTGTGTGTGTCTGTGTACCTTTGTGTGTATATGTTAGTGTGCACACGTGTGAGAGTGCTTATGTGAGTATTCGCGGAGGTGAGCGCTAGTATGTGTCATGTGTGTGATGTGAGTGTGTATATGTGTGTATTTGTGGAGGTGAGCGCTAGTATGTGTCATGTGGGTGATGTGAGTGTGTATATGTGTGTATTTGTGGAGGTGAGCGCTAGTATGTGTCATGTGTGTGATGTGAGTGTGTATATGTGTGTATTTGTGGAGGTGAGCGCTAGTATGTGTCATGTGTGTGATGTGAGTGTGTATATGTGTGTATTTGTGGAGGTGAGCGCTAGTATGTGTCATGTGTGTGATGTGAGTGTGCATATGTGTGTATTTGTGGAGGTGAGCGCTAGTATGTGTCATGTGTGTGATGTGAGTGTGTATATGTGTGTATTTGTGGAGGTGAGCGCTAGTATGTGTCATGTGTGTGATGTGAGTGTGTATATGTGAGTATTTGTGGAGGTGAGCGCTAGTATGTGTCATGTGTGTGATGTGAGTGTGTATATGTGTTGGTCTGCTGGGTGTTAGTGTGTACCACTGTACACATGTATGTGAGTATGTATACGTGCGTATTTGTGTATGCCGGTGTCGTGTGATGTGTGTGCCTGTGTGTGCGTGTGTGTGCAGACCAGGCTTTCCCACATGAGAGCTGTCGTGTGGGGCCTGAGACGCATTCCCCAGCCTCTCTGACAGCTCTTCTGCTTTTTGTCTCTAAGCCACAAATCCTCAGCGTGAAACAATCAGCCTGGGTCGTCTTGTTCATCTGTCTGACCCGACATCTCTGACGTACCGCAGCCCCATTGGAGCAGCATTCTGGGAAATCAGTAAAGCGGAGAGAAGTCCCGAGGCGGGCGGACGCCTGAAGCTCCTGTCGCTTAGAACCCGATGTTGTTCCATCACTTCTCATCAAGAAGAAGGCTGGGCTGCGAGACAGAGGCAGAGGACAGGCCGGGCACATCTGAGGCCTGGGGTTCATCCCTCTCCCACGTCTCCTGAGGACCCCAGGTGTGGTCTCAGGGTCCCACACAACAGCCACAACAAAAGAGTTGTTCGGCCTTTTCTCGACTAACTCTCCCTGGATTGAGAAGCCTTGGCCTGTGGGGATGCCAGAGCGTCCCGATGCCTTGCTATTCGTCACTTGCTCTTATCTTCGGGAAAACGCTGGCCAAGCCCTGAGGGACGGAATGTGCTGATCTGGGCTGCCCACAGGACTTCACTCCCGTCCATGCTGACGTTATTGGAGTAATAAACCACACGATCTTCCGTCTCATCGCCCAACACACTTCTGCTTTCCTGGTCCCTGGCTGAAGGCTCCCTTCAAAGCTACAGGCCAGGAGGCTGGAGCGATAGTACAGCGGGTAGGGTGTTTGCCTTGCACGCGGCTGACCCGGGTTCGATTCCCAGCATCCTATATGGTCCCCCGAGC